AGCTTCCCAGCACTTTGTAATCACTTTATGCTGGGACCCTACCCCCTGCTTCACCTTCAGTAAATCTGCTCTCTTCCACCTGCAACAAATCTGCTTTTTCATTCGCTGGTGGCTTTGCCCTCAATTCAGTACCAACAACGGTCTCTGGCGGGGTTATCCACCTCTGACCATTCCCCTCGATGTGAAGCCTCGTTTCTTGAGCACAGTCCTTTTCTTGCCTTTTGGCTTTTCTGGAAGTTTGGTACCAGGAGACTGTCTCTCAGGTTAAGAGCTCTTGGCCCCCACCCTTTGTGTGATGACTCACTGGGTGGCCTGTGCCTGTCTCAGAAGCGACCCTCTCTGAATTCCTGGGATGCAAGGAACTGCAGACCCTTGGATCTTCTCGTCATGGGAGCTGTATCATCATCTATACCTCCTTGCTCCCATTGGGTGGGTTTTTTGTTTGTTTTGTTTTGTTTTGATTTGATTTTTGGAGACCCACTGACCATTCCTAATCTGATATTGCTGCAAGACCACCAGCTGTTGGCCATAGAGCTGGAGGCGCAAGGCTATCAAACATGTCCCGGTGCTGTGGTGATAGGAAAGGATCAGGTGCTTTAAGCCCTGGCATTTTGCCAGGCCCAGGAGGCAAAATGGTTCAGAAGAGCCTGGACAGTGAAGTGAGACAGCCAGCTACTCCTAAGATGTGGCTAGCACCCATCTTTCCCAGGTCCCTCAAAGATGAGCAACTCCCCCCTGCCCCCGGTCAGCAGGAAGTAGTCTTGAGAACAGGGCATTCTCGTCCTGACTCAGGCATCTGTATTGGGGTTCTGACAGGACACACACCCTCAGCTGCAGCCACTGACACCGCCACCTGTGCACATTCACTATGTTCCCTTTTAAAAGGGCCTATCCTTCCCCCCCTCCCTCTCCCCCCTCTTTCCTCTCTCTTGCTGCTCCTGTCCCCAGAGGCTGGTTGGTCTTCTCCCTTCCCTTTCCCTAGTTTAAAAGAAAACAACAACAAAAACACTATGATTGAACCCTGTGGCATGGCATCTTTCTTTCTTGAACCACTTTTTAAAATTACAACAAAATCCAAGGAGGTAGAGGCCAGCCTAAGATGTGTGAGACCTTTTTTTGTTTTTGTTTATTTTTATTTTTCAAGACAGGGTTTCTCTGTAAGTCTTGGCTGTCCCAGAACTCAATCTGTAGACCGGGCTGGCCTCAAACTCACAGATCTGCCATCTGCCTGCCTCTGCCATCGTCCAAGTGCTGACATTAAAGGTGTGTCTCACCACCTCCAGGTGAGACCCTGTCTTTAAGAGGAAAAAGGGCCTAGTTCCAGGACAGCCAGAGCTGTTACACAGAGAAGCCCTGTCTCCAGAAAAAGAGGAAGAAGAAGAAGAAGGAGGAGGAGGAGGAGGAGGAGGAGGAGGAGGAGGAGGAGGAGAAGGAGGAGAAGGAGGAGAAGGAGGAGAAGGAGGAGAAGAAGGAGAAGAAGAAGAAGAAGAAGAAAAAAAAAAAGCCAGGGTGGGAGAGGTAAGGGAATAAATCGAAGCAGGTGTAGGACACCAGATTCATGTAAAAATAAATAAGGGAACAAAGGTGTGGGTGATGGGCCCACTACACAACTTGTAGGCACCTGGGCAGATTGGGGTGCCATGTCTTTTCCAGGTGGCTCAGCTGCCTTACTGATACCATATCCTTGGGGAGGAGGTCTGGTCAGTTTCAAGGTCTAGGGGTTTCTGAATTGTTTAATTCCTGAGTGTTACTGAGCCTCCCTTTAGAACCTCCTGAGTCTTGAGCTTCCCTCCTTGACAGATGTTTCTCCCCTTTTGGAACATGCTGACTTAAAGAAACCTCTGAGCCTTGAAGAAAATGCTATACAATATATTTCACCCCAACCTATGCAACTCACATAGCTACTTTGGGTCTGTTGCTGTTTTCTGACTTCCATATGCCACAGCATTCAAATGCCCACATTCACACAGAACCACACACAGAAATGTATGTATGTGTACCCTGTGTGTGTCTGGTGTCTGTAGAGGTCAGATGTTACTGTTACTGGATTTCGTGGAACTGGATTTACAGAGGGTTATAAGAGGTCACGTAGGTGCTGGGACCTGAACCCACAAGAGTCTTCCCCAAGAGTAGAAAGTGTGGGCTGGAATGGTAACTCATTAGCTGAGAGCACTGGCTGCTCTTCCAGAGGACCTGGGCTCAGTTCCCAGCATTCACATAGCAGCTCACAACTGTCTGTAACTGCAGTCCCAGGGGATCCAATGCCCTCATTCTGGCCTCTTTGGACACCAGGCACACACATGATGCACATGATACATGCAGGCAAAACATCCAATCCAGATTATATGAAAAAAAAAAAACCTTTTATTTTATGGGCATTGATGTGAGGGTGCCAGATCCTTCAGAACTGGAGTCATAGACAGTTGTGAGCTGCTATGTGGGTGCTGGGAACTGAACCCAGGTCCTCTGGAAGAGCAGCCAGTGCTGTTAACCACTGAGTGATCTCTCCAGCCCCATAAATATATATTTAACCTCAGAGCCATTTCTCCAAACCTCGAGTGTACCCTAATGTTCACTATTGGTTTTCAAAAGCCACTGAGGACAAATCTTGGCATTGGTCATGCAGTTTTTGGAACTTATAAAGGCGAATCAGTCAATAGTGATAAGTGGGAGGGAACCAGCCAGTGATGTGTCTACCTCCTGCCCCACCCAACCTCTGGTGTCGCTTCAGTCACCTACTCTCCTGTAGAGAAATTTAGCAAGCCTGGAAACATGAAGCAGATGGCTCATGAAAATTTGATGTTTTCTCTCCAACTTACCCATCTGGGCATCACAAAAGACATGCCTAATAGTGATTATTTTGGAGGGGGTGGGAAACAAGCCCTTGAAAAAAATCTTAGCTAAAATGGGAAAACATTCATCTACCAGATGGCCAAAGCCCTGTGGGGTGACTATTAAATGTTCATGTAATGTTCATATAAGAAAGTATGCAAGTATCCACTCTATTCCCTCTTATTTCCTTAAAGAATGGAGAATCAAGCAGAAACTGATGAGATTGGTTACCTTTGTAGGACAGGTGTGCCAAATTGGGGATAGCAGTTTTGACACTTAATTTTACTTTGTGTAGTGTTTTTCTTTGTTGTGCCAGATATGAAACTCAAGAGCCTTGAGAATGGTGGGCAAGTCCCTCTACCACAGAAGTTTGTCTCCAGTTCCAGTTTGTGAGATTAAAACAAGCCGACACATGTTCCCTAGGTAAGTAACAAACATTGTGACCACCAAGAGGTGATGCACAATCCATGTAAGCTGGACCATCGGGAAAAACAATCAAGGTTATGTCCATAGGGAGGTGGTTGCCAGGTAGCATCTGCATGGGTGTTATCTCTGCATCCATCCTATAAAGCAACCAGGACAATGGAACTTAAAGGTGACTGTGAACGTCCAACAGGGACCTGAGTGTAGATAAGTAGTAGAACATGTGCTTAGTACATGCGGGGCCCTGGGTTCAATACCAACCCCAAGACAAGTTTGTGTTTTTTATATACACTAATGCTGAGGCAATATGAATTTGTACAGATTCAATCCAAAGCTTGGCGCCTTTGCATTATGCTTTAAAGTGGTTGCAACTGAGTGGTAAAATCCTATTGATTACAAAAAGCATGGATTTTAGCAATCATGTTAGATACAGGGTCAGAGGCTGGGAGACTACAAGAGATGAGGGAGTGGGTAGTCCTCTGGGAGGGCCAGGGGTTGTATGCAGGGTTCATGCTTCCCAAGAAAAAGCAACATTTGGTAACTTGTATCAGAGCTCCCTTTAGAGAGGAAGAGTCTGGATTGTAGGCTTGCCAGCAGTGACGTCATCCAGGATGTAAAATGGGCTGCTTTTCCAAGTAGGGACCCACTTGAGTTGATATAGACTCCCAAGCCTCTATTCTTGACACTGTAGTCTTTGGAGAAGGGGTTTAGTGTATGGGTGTTGATGGATGCAATAGTAATCAGACCGGCAATCAAGAGTTGTGTGAGCTGTAACTAATGGGTTGGTTTGGGATACAATTTCACTTTTCAAGACAGCTCTGGCTGTCCTGTAACTAGCTCTGTAGATCTCAACTCAGAGATCCACCTGTCTCTGCCTCATGAATGTTGGTATTAAAGGTATGCACCACCATGCTCAGTTATATTTTGCTGTCTTTAAAGTTTGTTTTTACCTCGAGATAATTAAGCAAGGCTACAATTAAAACAGTTAAAAAGTCATTATAAAAGCATTTTAGTTTTTTAAATAATTTTCTTCTTTGATTTTACAGCTTTCTAAATCGATAAGTTTTCTGATTTGAGAACCATGTAACCCACCCAATACAACCTTTACCTTTACTACTTCCCTAGTACTGGGACTTTAGGCCTGTATCGTGTGTAGTTTAACCAGTTAGTAGTTCATATGGTTGACTGAGAGGGAAGTCTCACTTTCTTCAAATATTATTTTTCCCCGGGAGAGGGACCCCCCTCCCCTTCAAAGTAAAATCTTTAGAATGCATACTGAATTTCTTGGTGACTACTTTTTTCTTCATTAAATACTTACCCAACAAGGTTCTAGTTTATTTTCCAGGGTGTTACCAGTAGATCCTCTAAGGGATCGGGGTCAGTATTTCCAGCAGTTTATTTATTAAAGTTGGCTCCCATGTCTGCATGGTAAGTGGCACTGTATCCCCATTGGGCAAGGACTGGGTGTCTAAGGCATTTGTAACTGTCCATTAAGGTTCTTCCTATATCATTTTAGAATTTTGATATTAGCCTTTCTCCAGCTGGTTAACGCCCTTTGATCCTCTTTTACACAGATGTGGGCTTGCTTAACATGTATGGTAGTGAGTCGTGTTTAGGTATTTAAATCCCTTATCACAGTATAAATAGTTTATAAACAGTGCTATCCTTTGAGAAAGCAGGCAAATGACACGTTGTAACCAAATTAACCAAATTAAAGGACATTTCACCAATTGGCATAGCAATAGTTAATAGAAACATCTTTTTATTCATTTATATGCTAAATACATGAAAAGAAAATCTCAATTGAAATCCAGCCACCCAGAAATAATTCTGGCCATAAAATGCACAGTTACCCTATGTGTCCAAAGTCAGCTGAGTTTGCTCTTGAGAAAAGTTCTTATTTACTCCAACATCTAGAATATCCTCAGGACCACATGCTGACACTACACAGGAACAGAAAGGAGCTGAGCAGACCACACTAAATGCAGCTTTATACAACTCTATAGTAACTACAGTGGTGTTTTATGTATCTTAAGCACTGATCAGAATTAATTATGAACCAGAAAAGCTTCCAGTGAAATGAGCTGCAGAACCTCTTACCGCACGCCTAGATTATTCTGAGGAGGGAGGGCTGCTGGGGGTGATGAGAATCCCGACTGAACACTGCTTTCTTCCTACCTCGGTCCACCAATGGGCACTCTGGAGTGTAAGGCACTAGAACTAAGCTGAGAGAAGTACTCTAAGCTCCAGATCTTGGTGTGCAAAGGAAATCCTGGCACAGACCTATTGAAACATGATAAAGATAACTCCCCCTCCTCTTATAACCTGTCCTTCACAGACAAGAAGACAAGGAGGTAGATGTTTGCAAAGATTAAAACCAGGTGAATTAAAATGAGGAAAATGCGTATAATTATTCTGATGTAGACAATTGCTTAGAGAGACCAAGTCTTCTACAGAGAAAATGCTGATGTTTAATACACTAAGAGAAGGCAAAGCTGTGTGTGAGACAGCTTTGTTGGTTGGTACTGTTGAGAAACTGAAGGACAAAGCCCCATATTGACATGAAAATGGGGGCTTACAAATCAGCACCTTGGAGACCAAAAGAAATGGAGGCAGAGGGAGAGGAGAGGTGCTGCCAAACCAGCCCACAGCTCACTTACCATTTCTGACATGCACACAGGGCGTAGCTATAGCTCAGACACTTCCCCCTACGCTTTTCCTCAAGCTGTGTCTCTACAGACATAAGTAGAAGATGAACATTCTTTAGCCATAGAAAATGTACCTGTTTTGTGTTGATACTATGCTACTTGCCTATCAACATATGTGAGGTGGGGGTGTTGGGATGCAGAAAATGAAAATGACAAGTCATTCTTCATTATCCCAAAATTATAAATCTGTTACTTTTGGCCAAGAATAAAGATAGAAGGATGAAATTTGTAGTTCACCCCCACAAACAGGATGATGCAACTGCTCTTCCATAATAGTCTTCCAGACTACTACCATACTGTAAGGCAGAAGAATCTCCCCAAAGATCTTTTCAGATGCTAGCAAATGGTGTTCATAGGCTAGAGGATAATCAATCAGAAAGTCAAAGCTGTGAGTCTTCATGAAACAAAGCAAACCTTTAGCAATTTCTGCTACTTCTAACTCATCTGCCACCCACATCCAAAGGCAGGGCAGTATAATACTAAGATCTCTAAGTCTGTTTCTTGTATTTAGTTACTTTTCTTGGACACAGCAGCCTAGAATACATTTGGTGGAGAGAGAGGCAGAGCTAGTATACTTCCCAACAGAAGGCAAGCTCAAGTGGCTGTACTCCACTACTGCATAAATGGGTTCCTGGACACCAGACTGAAGCTGAACTTTACTGTGTTGATGATCCTGTGTCCCAGGACTAATGTGTGAGTATACTTCAAATGACTACGGTAGTACTGAGAAACAGGCCTTGCATGTATAATGAACAACTAAGAGGAAAAGAAAGCCTTCATATTTCAAGAAGGTTCACGGAAAACTCCCAACCCTAGGTCTTCAATATTCTTTGTTCAAGGAAAGTAGATGTGACAACAGATTGGAGGAAATATCATCGAAAGCTGTGTTTACAATCCCTTACAGATAGTGCCCCCCCCAGTGTTATACAAGGTAAGCCAAGGTAGCCCCACTGTCCAAGAGTTAGAAATGTCACACAACTGAAAGATGTACAATGATTGTTATCTGGATTTTCAATAATGCCTCTAGACCACAGTGGTTCTCAACCTTCCTAAGCCATGACTTTTAATACAGTTCCTCATGTCAAGGTGACCCCCAACCACAAAATTATTTTCATTGCCACTTCATAAGTGTAACTTTGCTACTGTTATGAATGTAAATAATCTGTTTTTCAATGGTCTTGGGTAACTCCCGTGAAAGAGTCATTTGACCTCTTGAAACCCACTGGTTGAGAGGCACTGCTCTAGACCTATCATTTCTGTTAACAACTTGCATTTATTCCTGAAGAGTTCAGAATGCTCTACGAACACAGGTGTCTCAGGTTAAATGGTGCCCTCGACTAAGGTGCTTATGACAAAGAAGCATAAGAAAAACTTCAGGATTAGTGGAAGAGAACTGTCTATTTAAAGCACTTGTATCGGGGCAAAATGAGTATGTGTGTGTGTGTTGGGGGGGTCATATTTGCATTGTTAATGTTTGAATGAACCAAGAGAAACTCTTTGGTTTTTTTCTTGACAGGGTTTCTCTGTGTAGCTTTGGAACTTGTCCTGGAACTAGCTCTGTAGAACAGGCTGGCCTCAAAGAGATCCGCCTGCCTCTGTCTCCCAAGTGCTGGGATTAAAGGCGTGCACCACTAACACTCAGCCCAAGAGAAACTCTTCAGGATGTTTTTTGTGCCAGATGTTTGTTTTGGGATACATAGTAAACAAGTAGCAGCACAGAAAATCACAGTTGAAGGAATAGGACCATGACCCCCTGGAGGAAGCATTTCAAGACAGCCTGGTATGCCCATCTCAGTCTCTCTCATGCTTTTCCAGCAAGACAAGCACTGTTTGTAAGCTCAAAAGGCTGATACCAGCTGAAGACTTACCAAGAAAGTTGCTGCATAATTTTAAATACAGCAGTTCCGGCCTATTTAGAAAGGACGGTTAATTAAGTAGCTAGAGGCTAACAAGTGCAGAAAAGAATCAGTCTATGCTGAAAATACTCTTGATGGTGGCACACCCAATTTTAAACTATTACTGTTTTGGAAGGTGCGCCCCCCCCCACCTCCAATTTGGAACTTAAGTGCTAACACTTCCAACAGTTAAAGAACAAGTCACATTTTTACTGCCACATTTTTACTATCAATGTAAAGTTAAAAAAAAAAAATTCTTTTGTATTCGATTCCAACCAAATTTTCACAGACTGGAATGTTACAGCTGTATATGGAGCATAGACACCTGGAGTTGTGCATCCCTACTCTTATCTTCACAGGTCAGCCAGCACCTGCTGTCTCAACAGCTTTCTAGTGGAGTATTTCTCCTTTCTTCCCTTTGCCTACAAACAGTGCCTCTCATCTCATGAAATACACATATCCTCCAAAATAGCAATTTCCCCTCACAATAAATTTTAATTGTGTGCCCTTTTAATAAACCAATTAAATTTTGTCAGAAGCCAAGTAGGAGTGGCCTAGCTGGAGAAAATAGCAAGAAAAGTATAAAAGAACCAGTCTGAGTGGATAAAAGGTTCTATAGTAATGCCAAAGAGACACTTGAGAATACTGAGCTGCTCTAAAGAAATGAAAGATTGCTATTAAATTTAGCAGAACCAATGCTTCCAAGTTACTGAGTATTGCAGGTGAATTAAAGCTTCTCAAATCCAGACTAGAGAGGTTTGTATACAAGAAAAAATTAAGTGTTGGTGTTCTATAGCACAGCCTGTTACATCCAAATTTCATCTTCAGAAAACAAACTGTCACTGCAACTGTGAGGCCAGCCTGAGCTCCAATGAGGAACCCATATCACAAAGAGAAAACCGCATTCTGTGAGTACTCTCTATTCCAAAGCTTTTGGGGGTGGGGGAGCCAGGAAAAAGGTGGAATGCAGTCTCTGGCCTGCATTGTACTTACAGCTCTCAATGGCCATCTGTATGTGGCTTTGTTCATGCCAGGGGTGTAAAGCTCGAGTCTCTGGTAGCTCTCTGGAACGCAGTATGGACAGCATGGTTTACTCACTCACCTAAGCCCCTCTCCCTCTGCTAAAGGGGTAGGATGAATGCTGAGGTCATAGGCAGGCTACACAAGGCACAGGTGAGGCAAGAAGCAGTCTCAAGAAGGGACAGCTAGCTGACCTGTGAGTAGCTGAAAGAAAAGCAACACTCTCCTAATAGTAGGAACAACACCTGCGCTCACACTGCTCCTGCTGGGAAAAGCAACACAAAAGGCAACATGGGTTTGGTTTTGTGTTTTTCCTTTCAAATACTAGCATACTTGTTTACTCAGCTAAAAAACAACAATCTCATTATACAAAATAGCAGAAAATAACGAAAACTGCAGGCAGGTTGCCCTGGCCCAGATGTCTAAGAACAAAGTTGGAGGGCTGGAGGGGTCAGGTTAACTATTTGTCCCTTCCACAGAGCAAGCAGACTGGTGTCTATACAATCCCTCTCAACAGTGAGGTAGATGGTTAAGAGGTATCGGGTGGCAACCTACAGCACAGTGAAACAGAGTCATCTGCCTGTTTAAGATTCATGCTATTCTCAGGGCTATATCAGACACACAGTAGTCTACCAAAAGTAGCACATTACTCTAAGAATCCCAGCCCAGACTTGAATAATACTAACTTGCCTTAAGATGAATTTAAAAATCAGTTTGTCACCTTAACTCCACAGTGGCTCCTGCCTTCCACTGTGGGAATGTGAGCCTGCTGGAGGGATGAAAAGAGCCTGGATTATTAGGAGGAGTAACAGCAAATGAAAAGATAATGGGAGGACAAAAAAGGCTTAAGGAAGAAGTTTAAAGCAGGTCATTGAAGTTGAGAGAGGACAAAGGACAGAGGAAAGAGCTCCCAGAATGCTGCTCCTCATGAGAACGGGAGAAAGGAGACTGCCTTAGCATTACTTCCCATGAAAGTCGCTCAGCTCCACATCATCCTTTCTACGCTTGTGAGTGAAATAATAGGAGGTGATAGGGTAGAGCTTGGCCTTGGCCTGAAACCGATGTCCTGCAATGTCAATTTCATATTCTCCTCGGTTGATGAAATCTGCTGTCACCACCTGCTCTTCCCCATTGTCCTCAGAAAAATTGTGTACATAACCCAGGCATACATGGCGCTCAAGAGTGTAGCTATAGGCACTACTGGTGGTCTTGCCAGCATACTTCCCATTCCGGTAAATGGGTTCTCCCCACCAAGGCCACAAGTCTAGGTCTGTGTCGTGGTCATCCAGGATGAACATAGCAAGGCGTTTATACACCCCATTCTGCTTCTGCTGCAGCAATGCTTCCCGACCGATGAAATCTATGCCCTGAAAAGAAAAAAGGGGAAAAAGCCTGAGCTACCAGTCTACATGATGATGCTTAGCACATGAAGGTGGGGAGCAAGTGGGTAAGTGCAATGAAATACAGCACACACATATTCCCTCCATTCCTGCTAGCTTTTAGAAAGAGATGTTGGAGGCATTGTGAATATCTGCATCCATAACAGAGACAATCAAGAACTTTTGTAACAGCAAAGTACATATTTCTGTGAACAGACTTCAATCTGCATCAAACAAAAAACATTAGGCAAGAAAATTGAAAAATTAAGAATACTTGCTAGAGGGATGTCAAGATGGCTCAGCAGGGAAAGGCTCTTAAGCCTAGAATCTTGAGTTGGAGCCCCAGAACCCAAGTAAAGGTGACAGCAAAGAACCAATTCCAGCCCGGACGTCTGGTGACCCAGCACTCAGGAGGCAGGCAGATTTCTGTGAGTTCAAGGTCAGCCTGGTCTACAGAGCTAGTTCCAAGACAGGTTCCAAAGCCACAAAGAAACCCTGAAAAGTCAGGGGTAAGCTTAGTGTACTTCCAACTAAAAGTCCATATATATGTATGCACCAATGCATATAATGTGTGTGTGTGAACAAACTTAAGTGCTTATCTCTACTTAGAATACTTATTAGCACTTTCACAGAAAAACTGCATGTAATTTTTTTTTACATCTAGTTATAATGTAAAGGCCAAAAAGAATACTAAAGCTGGGCATGATGGCCCACACCTTTAATCTCGGCACTTGAGAGATAGAGAGACTGGTGGATCTTAGTTCCAGGTTAGCCAAGACTACATAGTGAAACTCTCAGAAAAGAAACTACAAGTATACTGACAGGAACTGCTTAAACACATTGTTGTAAATAATCAAGGTGCTAATTTAGCATATAGGTTGAAGGTGGGCAGAAGAAATCAACTTGTGCCATGCTTACATTCTAGAACAGAGACTGCTACTTCTCTGAGAAACCAAGGAGTCAGGACACTGGAAGAGGTTCAGAAGTAGGAAAGAATTCATAGAATAATCTATTGAACTATAATTTTTTTTTTAAAATAATGCCTGGGGCTGGAGAGATGGCTCAGAGTTTAATAAGAGTACATTAGTTCTTGTAGAGGACCTAAGCTCAGTTCCTAGTGCCTTCTTTAGGCAACTGCACCCAAGTGAATACACCTCACACAGTCACATATGCACACACATAATTAAAAGTTAAAAATATATATTTTAAGATAAAATTAGGCAGCTGGCTATAAAATACCTAATTTAGATAAATTCTTGTGGTACATTAACAAATGACCACAACCGACTGAAAAACTTATCCAGTGTCCTCTATTTTCTGGGCTGTAAAGGAGTGTTGTCAGGGTACTAGGGTTTCATGGAAAGATGTGTATCCGACAGCTAAGTTTTCTATTCCTTGTGGTTTATCTAATGCCAGTACTCCCCTGTCTTTCCTGCTCTTCCTTATTTATTCTGCTCTTCCTATCCTAGACAAAGCACACTGCTCAACTGAGAGGTACAATGGGGTATCTGCATAAATAATACCTTCTCTAACTTCACTCGAGACTCTCCTCCACATTCCAGAGGGGTGGTGAGGGTGTTTAAGTCTTGCCCCCAGAAGGCAAAAAACTTCTCAATTCGGAGGCTTCGAAGAGCATAATACCCAGCATTTCGGATTCCATATTTCTGTCCAACACTCATCACCTCATTGTAGACATGCAGAGCGTACTATATGAAGAGAAGAAAAGTTAGCAACCAGTTTACTTCCTAATTAACTGGAGTGGCACATCCCACTGATTCTTGGGTAGGCTGCAGGTATCAGTTAATTTTGAACAGATACAGTCACATTTTAAAAATAATCTCTTGAGCCATCTCTCCATCCCTCAAGGTTTTAAGAGTACTGACTGTTCTTCCAGAGGTCCTGAGTTCAATTCCCAGCAACCACAAGGTGGCTCACAACCATCTACAATGGACAGTTAAGAAGCAAGATGGTAGAGGATGGATGGAAAGACCGTCGGGTCTGCAGACAGACTTTCAGTTTCATTCTGCTTCGCTCATAAGGGAAGTTAAACTCCACTGGCATAACCAGACAGGTTGGTATACATCTATAATCCTAACACCCAGGATCATGACCTCTAGGCCATGATGCCCCTAAGAACAATTAAAAAAAAAAAAAATCATAGGTAGGTGACACACACCTTTAATTCCAGTACTGGGGAAGCAGAGACAGGCTGACCTGTGACTTCAAGGCCAGCTTGGTCTGCAGATCAAGTTCCAGGACAGTCAGGGCTACACAGAGAAACCCTGTTTCAAAACCAATAAGTAACCTTAAAAGGTACTAGGAACTCAGCATATGCATCAAAATTACTGATTAGAAACTAGTAAGAATACTACTACTACTACAGTAGGTTCTTGTTAACTAATAGGAGCTAGTTAGATGGAGATAATCAGTTTTTATCTATAAATGATTTGTGAGCCTAGCCTTTAACAGCTGAGCTGTCTAACATATGTGTGTGGGTATTTAAGATTCCTAGAGTGTCATGTATCCCAGACTAGACTGGCATTCCTGCTTCCTACCTTAAAGTGCTAGGATTATGGCCCAGGTGATATATATAGTTCTGGGGAGCAAATCAATGACTTATATGCTAGAAAAAGTTTACCAACTAAGCTACATCCCCAGCAAGATATTTAAACATTTTATTCCAATCCCATGTATTTGAGTTTTTTGACTGTATGTGTGCCTGGGTGCCCATGGAGGTCAGAAGAGGGCATCTTACCTCCCAGAACTAGAGATACAGATGGCTGTGAGCCATCATGTGGGTGCTGAGACAGAACCGGGCATTCAGTGCTCCCTCAAGTTCTTAGTATCTCTTCAACATTAACTATTAAAAATGATAAAACCTCTTTCCTGCAGCCTACCCAGGACTTGATGGGACATGGCACTCCAAACCTGGCAATGCTTAGGAATCCCTGCCCAGACACCCTGGAAAGGGAAGACTGACCCTCTCACCTCTATGGGGATGTACAGCATGAATCCTGGCTCTCCTGTGTGGGTCATACTCATCACTCGGATCCCATTTGCATAGCCCACGCTCATCTCCTGCAAAGAAAATGAAAGAAGTCAGCAGCAGTCCCTCCTCATGCTAGTGAGGAGACTTACTGCCTATCAGTACCCACCCTCTGTTGAATCCTAAAAGAGAAACAGACCAAGGAATGCACATTTTATCCTGAAACTGGAACACAGCCTCCACATCTCTTCTTAAGAATGTTACCACTAGCCGGCCATTGGTGGCACATGCCTTTAGTCCCAGCACTAGGGAGGCAGAGGCAAGAGGATCTCTGAGTTCGAGGCCAGCCTGGTCCAAGAGCTAGTTCCAGGACAGGCTTCAAAGCTACACAGAAAAAACAAAAAAACAAAACAAAACAAACAAAAAAAAAAAAAAAAAAAAAAAAAAGAATACCACTTCCAGCTTCAGGTAAGCTGATGGTGAGAAGGGGTGGCATATTCTTTGCTAATTACAAAATATTTTTTTCTTTTTTTTTGTGTGTGTGTATATACACTTTTATTTTTTATTTATTATTTTACATGTCGATCCCAGTTCCCTCTCCCTTCCTCCCTCACTTTTACCCTCTCTGCCCTCTCACATGCACCCTAACCACCCTCCCCTCCCATCCCCCCCACCCCAATTCCATATGTAGGGCAATGCCATCCAGTTGGGGTCATGTAGATCTGACAGGTCATTTGAAGTAGGGACTAGGGCTTCTCTCCTGTCTCTAGGTTAAGGCAGTATCCCTCCATGGGAGATGTGTTCGCAAGGTCCTTTTGTGCACCAGGGATACATCCTGGCTCCACTGTCTGAGGTCCCTTAGACTGCTCAGTCCTTCTGGCTGAGACCCATATTCAGGGGGACCGGAGTCAGCCCCATGCTGGCTTCCCAGCTATCAATCTGGGGGCCCGTTAGCTCTTCCTTGTTCAGGTCAGCTATCTCTATGTGTTTCTGCAGCCTGGTCTTGTTCTCTCCATCTGCATCTGGGTTCTAGTTCAACTCAGTGTTTAGTTATGGTGTTTGCTTCTGTTTCCAACAGGCATTAGTTGAGGGCTCCATGGATAAGTTAGTTGTTGATCTCACTCTCTGGGAAGGACATTTATCGTAGCCTTTCCACGGAAGCTCAAACTGTTAGTGGGCGGCAGTCTTGTAGTTCTCTAGACCTTTCTTTGGTTTCAATTTTCTCTTCAAAGCAATATTGGCTCTCTCTCCCCTGTCTTCTATTCCTTCCCTGACTCAATCTTCCTAGTCGCATGTGTTTTCCTTTCTTCCCCCTCACTTTCTCCTACTTCTCTCTCCATTTGCTGCCCCCCGCCACTTCCCATGTGCTCTGGGGGACTTATCCCTTCCCGCTTCTGTGAGGGACTTTATATGAATCTCTTAGAATACACCTTGTATCCTAGTTCCTCTGGTGGTGTGAATTATAGGCTGGTGATCCTTTGCTCTATGTCTAAAATCCATATATGAGTGAGTACATACCATGTTCCTCTTTTTGTGACGGGGTTACCTCATTCAGGATGGTTTCTTCAAGTGCCATCCACTTGCCTGCAAATTTCAAGATACCATTATTTTTTTCTGCAGAGTAGTATTCCATTGTGTAGATGTGCCACATCTTCATTATCCATTCTTCAGTTGAGGGGCATCTAGGTTGCTTCCAGGTTCTTGCTATTACAAATAGTGCTGCTATGAACATAGTTGAACAGATGTCTTTGTTGGATGGATATGGATCATTTGGGTATATGCCTAAGAGGGGGATTGCCAGGTCCTGTGGTAAACTAATTCCCATTTTCCTGAGGAACCGCCATACTGATCTCCAAAATGGCTGTACGAGTTTGCACTCCCACCAGCAGTGGAGGAGTGTTTCCCTTTCTCCACATCCTCTCCAACATGAGTAATCATTGGTGTTTCTAATTTTAGACATTCTGGCAGGTGTAATATGGTATCTCAAAGTTGTTTTGATTTGCATTTCCCTGATAGCTAAGGATGTGGAGCATTTTCTTAAGTGTCTTTCAGCCTTTTTGATTTCCTCTATTGAGAATTTTTTCTTCAGTTCTATACCCCATTTTTTAATAGGGTTATTTGGTGTTTTGTTGACTAGTTTCTTGAGTTCTTTGCATATTTTGGAGATCAGCCCTTTGTCGGATATAGGATTGGTGAAAATCTTTTCCCAGTCTGTGGGCTGCCGTTTGGTCTTGTCCACTGTGTCCTTTGCCTTACAAAATCTTCTAAGTTTGAAGAGGTCCCATTTATTAATTGTTGCTCTCAGTGTCTGTGCCCCTGGAGTTATGTTCAGGAAGCGGTCTCCTATACCAATTTGTTCAAGGGTACCTCCTACTTTCTCTTCTAAGGGGTTCAATGTGGCTGGATTGATGTTGAGGTCTTTGATCCATTTGGACTTGAGTTTTGTGCATGGCGACAGACATGGGTCTATCTGCAGTCTTCTACACACCCTCATCCAATTGTGCCAGCACCATTTGTTGAAGATGCTGTCCTCGCCCCATTGTATAATTTTAGCTGTTTTGTGGAAAATCAGGTGTTCATTGTTGTGTGGGTTAATATCAGGATTTTCAATTCAATTCCATTGGTCTACCTGTCTATTTTTGTGCCAATACCAGGCTGTTTTCAGAACTATAGCTCTGTAGTAGAGCTTAAAGTCAGGAATATTTTTCCTTACCAGATCTTGTTAAAACAATTAGGTTAGCCAAGTAGCATAAGGAACAATAAAGATCAATCAAATGTCTTCTCTGGTAGACTTTGCAAGCAAATTTCGGGCATCTGCCACAAAAAAGACAATGCCCACAGAACACAGTTCATCTACTTTGGGACGGTAGACTCAGATTCTTATGTTATAGCTGTTCAGTTGCCTTAAAAGCTACCCTGATATAATAGTTGCTCTGTGGGTTAAGGGAAGTGGTTAAGTGTGAGACAGCACTGAAACAAGTATCTTCCAAAGGAATTCTGACAAGCCATGGCATTTGCCAGGCAAAGGAGTATGGATTGGATTGTTCTTGAAAGTACAGAGAAGCCTGTGGAGGGGTCGGCTCACTAACATGACGTTTTCTCTGCCTGGGAGAATAGAGGAAATTATTAAACAATTTGCTATGAACATCTCAGCTCAGGCTTGAACTTCCAAGAGCCTCCGCCACTGATGGCTGAGCAGATGTACATTGTAAGTGGCCAAATAGCTGTGTGACTGCTTCCTGGAAAGCATTCAGTTATAGTGTGTGTCAGACAACTAGTGTGTATGTTGTTTAGGTTCAGCTAACCCATTTCTTCCCTGAAGATGGCACATGTACAAAAGTTAGTATGTGTATAAAAACAAAAGCAGCAAATAGGAGAATCTGATGTCAATGTGCATTGACCTTTATCTTTTGGTGTACATTGTTCATCTTTTACTTCAAGTTTAATCCAACTACTAAAACCAATAAAAGTACAGATTTAACATTCAAATAAGTCGAATCTATTTCAGAGAATATCCTGATCCTTATTAATACAGCAAGTATTTAAAAAGTAAAACTAAACCTTTGTTGATCATTTTGATTGCTTTTAAAAAAAGTCAACACACATTAAGAATACAAACCTGACACCACCACTATAAAAGAAATAATCTCTAACATTTAAAAAACAGAACTTCTGCTAGGGATGTGGTTCAGCATACATGGAGCCATGGGTTTAATTCTCAGCACCAAATAACCAAGCATATGCCAAGTACCTACACACCTGCAATCACAGCACTGGGCAAGATCAGAAGTATAAGGTCACCCTCAGCTACATAACAAGTTTGAGACCAGCATGCACTACATGAGACTCCCATCACAAACAATAAGTTTACATTACTAGCACCTACCTTGCAAAACAGAGTTGGAAAGTGGTCTGGAGTCATAGGGGCATAAGATAACTCAGATAGCACATCCACAGCCCGAGGGCCAATCAGATTGAGGGCTATATGGAAAAGAACAAGAGATTTCCATCCTCTCCAGGTGAACAGCTGAGCGAATGCAATAGGTCTCTTCCAAGTTTGCCCACTGTCTTTGTTTCTTTACCTGCTACTGTGATAAAATACACTGGCAAAAGCAACTTAAAGGACAGTTATTATAGTTCATAGTTCAAAGTCAGTCCATCGTGTGAGGGTAGTGGAAGAATTAGAAACTTGAAGTAGTTGGCCACATGACATCCATAACTGGGAAACAGTGACAAATGGATGCTAAATGCTTAATTCACTTTCTCCATTTATACAGTCCAGAATGTACATGAGGGAATGGTTGGCAGAACCACCACAGTGGGTGGTTCTTTCTATCTCTATTGATACTGTAATTCCCCACAGGCATGTGCATTTCTTTCAGGTGATTCTAGATTTTGTCAAATTGGCATTAGCACCACTGTGGTGATATATTATTTATGATTTATTAAAGCTTGCCTGAGGACTCAGAAAAGCAAAGTCAGCTTCAAGCTATAGAGATCAGGCAGTGGTGACACACACCTTTAATCCTAGGACTAAGGATATGGAGGTAGACAGATCTCTGAGTCCAAGACCACCTATATCTACACAAGATTGATCCAGTCCTAAAGAGAAACCGCTCACACAAAGATAATCTCAGCATCTGGGATCACTTGCTTTTAATTCCAACATTAGGGAGGTATATAAGACAGGAGCAAGGTCCCAGTATCTGTCTCTGAAAGTGTCCCTTTACTTATGAACCTGAGGTTCAATGGTAAGTACCCGGGCTCTGGCGCCCACACACACTTCTGCTGACAGACCTGCTAAATTAAGCTGCTGATTGGCAGGTGTGAAGAGCCTGGCTAGTGTAGTTCTTCTCCCAAGTTGACAGGAAGGACATGTTTTATAGTCTTCTCTGCAGTGAGATTAGGGTCATGAGACCAAGGCCTAGCTAAGAGGACGCCTCCAAGGCTGGCCATATACCAGTACTGTATAAGTTCTTCTCTTCCTACATAATGGAAGTAGCCCCAATTCCAAATCAGTACCTTCAGAACTGTCTACCCAGCCTAGAATCTGATGCATAAGACAGACTACACATAACTGCTCCAGTACAGGCTAGTACACAATTAGTGTTCGAGAATATTCTGCAGTTTGCTAAACTAGAGGCAAGAAGTTAATCATAATTGCTACTAATGGGAATAAAGGCCTGGGTGAGATAAGTGGGTTCAATGAAATGAATACAAGTCAGTTTTCTCACTCCACCATGTGGTTTCCAGGGATGGAATGCAAAAGAAAAAAAGTCAATTTGTAAAATGTATGTATGTATGTCTGTCTTATTTTCCTCTGAAGATGTAGAGGGAAGGGGGCAAGTTTCGAGACAGGGTTTCGCTGTGTAACAGTTCAGGCTGTCTTGGAACTTGCTTTGTAGATCAGGCTGGACAAGAACTCCCAGAGATCCACCTGCCTCTGCCTCCAGAGTGCTGGGATTAAAGGCATATATACTTTGTGCATGTGGATGTTTTACATCTGTGCACCACATATATGCAGTACCCATGGAAGCCAGAAGAGGATGCTGGATATGAGCTGTCATGTGGATGTCAGTAAGTGAACCAGGGTACTCTGGAAGAACAACCAGTGTTCCTAACTGAGACATCACTCCCCAGCCCCAAAGATTGTTTTTATTTTATGTCTATGGGTGTTGTGCCTTCATGAATGTATATATACCACATGTATACATGTACACATACATGAAATGCCAAAAGAAGGCATCAGCTCCCCTGAAACTGGGGTCACAGGCAGTTGTGAGCTGCCCTGTGGGTGTTGGGAACAGAATCCTTAGTCCTCTACAAGAATAGAAAGTGCTCTTAACTGCTGAACCATCACTTCAGCTCTTACAGTGTCTCTTTAACATTCTGACTCTCATTTGTAAAAAGTCATATATAAAGTAAGTTATATGTAATATAGAAGGCAATCTAGATCTGCTTCTTTACTTGGCTAGCCTCACAAGACTGATTACCTGTATATTTCCAGGTGACATCCTCTAGCAGCAAGTTGCTGTCTTTTGGCATGTACTTGTTAAGCCAGGCCCAACAGTGGACTTGCTGGTCAGTTGGAGAGATCATGAAGAAACTGAAAATAAGGAACCCCCCCCCAAAAAAAAATAATCAAAACTAAGAGGCAGAAGAATCAAGAACCAATCAAGTTCTCATATAGTTTCAAAGTCCCACCGAGAACTCTTGGAAATAATCTCTTACCTTTCAAGGAGGGCTATTTTACCATTCTAGATTCTATACCAGTAATGGCAAAATTACAGAGACATAAGATTCATAATTTTCTCCTGAGCTGAGCACGCCTTTAATCCTAGCACTCAGGCAGAGGCAGAGGCAGAGGCAGTGAGTCTGAGGCCCAGTCTGAGGCCATCCTGATCACAAAATGAGTTCCAGGACAGGCAGGGCTACACAGAGAAACCCTGTCTCAAAAAAAAACCAAAAGAAAGAGGAGGGGAAAGAAAAAAAAAAAAAAAAAAAAAGACGTTACTTAAGAGAGAATTCTTTTTTTTTTTTTTTGTGGCCTCAAACTCACACTCACTGATATCACTGGTATCTGCTTGCCTCTGCCTCCAGAGTGCTGGGACTAAAAGCGTCCATCACCAAAGCCTGGCAGGGTAACTAACGTCTACACCCAGTTTTACACAATAAAACTTCTGTTTTTGTTTTGTGTTTTTAGACAGAGTTAGTCTCACTTTATAGCCCAAGCTAGCCTACAATTCCTCATATAGCCCAAGTTGTCCTTGAACTTGCAGTAAACCTATCTCAAACCCCTGACATTATACTCATGAGTCACCACACCCAACTTGAGTTTCTTCTTTTTGTTTGCTTTTGCTGATTTATTTACAGCAATTAAGACAGGAATTTATGAATTAATTTCTGAGTCCCTAGGACTATGGGCTCCCAGAAAACTACTCAGTGCTCTGCTTCCAGAGCCCTTTAAGGTATCAGTTTAATGGAAGGAGCAGAAAGGGATGGAAACTCAACATACCTGCGTTTGTTCAGGCGTGCAATGCTGCAGTCATTTTCATACCCCCCACATTCGTTGAGCATGCCAGTATGCACAATGTGGCCTACAGGCACATCCAGGTCATTGGAGAAAAGGTACTGTAGACTTTCTAATGCCTGATCCCCAGTGGACTGTAAGGAAAGGGATAAGACAGGGACAGTAAACACGGGATCACCTAACAGCATAACCATCCAACACTACACCTTGCTGACAAAATTGAATGACACAACACCCACATGACAGTATTTTCAGATTACTTTCCTGTAAGAAGCCATGAGGAAAGTTAACCATCAGTACTTAAGATAAATGGGCCATTAAAAACTATGTTATAGGAGCTAAAACTTCAGAATAACCTGATTATAAAGATGATCCTCTAAAATGATCTAGTTCCTTCAGAACCAGTTTTAAAGTAGCAGATGAAATATAGGAATTTGAGCTGGAAAGATTGTACAGTAGATTAAAGAACTAACTGCTCTTCCAGGTCTTGAGTTCAAATCCCAGCACCTAGAGGGCAGCTCACAACCATCTATAAGTAGAGTCAGACAGGATTCAATGGCCTCTTCTCATATGTAGACACATGCAGACGAAACACTCATATACATAAAAAATCTTTGTTGGCCTGGTGGCTCTCACCTTTAATCCCAGCACTCAGGAGGCAGAGGCAGGCAGACCTGTGAGTGGGAGGCCAGCCTGGTCTACAGAGCAAGTTCAGGACAGCCAGGGCGACACAGAGAAACAAACCCTGCCTGGCCCCCCCACAAAAAAAAAAAAAAAAAAAAAAAAAAAAAATGTATTTAGAGGCTGGAGAGGTGGTTTAGAGGTTAAGAGGCTGTTCTTCCAAAGGAACTGGGTCAATTCCTAGCACCCACTTAATAGCACACAGCTATCTGTAACTCCAATCCCAGGGGGCTCCAGTGCCCTTTTCTGGCTTTTCTCAGGCATTACATGTACACAGTACACAGACATATATTCATACAAAATAACCATACACATCTAATTTAAAAATATCATGAAAAATAGACAAGCATTCAAAAGTATTTCTCACCCTGCTGTTTTGGTTTCCAAATACTTACAGTTATCTCAAACTTTGTGAAAGAAGACATGTCAATGACACACACAGCTTCCTTACAGCACTTGACTTCAGACTCCACAATATCAAACCAATCTGGCTTGTAGAAAGTCTTGCTCTGTTCCAATGCAAGAAGGTCTATGAAAAGGAAAAAAAAAAAAAGGTGGGAAAAAAGAGTTTGATACTAAAGATTCCCCTATATATTTTGTTATGGCCTACAAGATTTTATTTTTTAATTCTTCCAGGAATACATTCTAGTTATATGTACTTAATAATTACAGTTTTAAGAAGGGGGTGGAAGGAATTTGCTTGGTAGTTAAAGTACCTATGCAAGCATGAGAACTTGAATTTGAGTCCCAAGAACGTGCGCACACGCACGCACACACACACACACACACACACACACAAAGCTAGTAGTAGTAGTGTATGCCTATAATCCCAGCAGTGATGCGAAAGATAGGAGGATCCTTGGGCTTGCTGGCCAGCCAGTTCAGGCAATCAGTGAACTCCAGGTGCACTCGACACCAACACCTGATCTATACAAGAGTACACATACAAATACACCCCCACACACCTACCCATACCCAAACACACAGCCCAGGGTGGTGGCTTATGCCTATAACCCCAGTAAGAGGACTGATTCAAAGCCAACCCAAAATACAATGTTCCAGGCTAAAATGTGAGGTTCTATCCAAAAAAGAAGAGGCAGACAGGCCGGGTGTTGGTGGTGCACGCCTTTAATTCCAGCACTCAGGAGACGGAGGCAGGTAGATCTCTGTGAGTTTGAGGCCAGCCTGGTCTATATATACAGTGAGTTCCAGGACAGTCTCTAAAGCAATACAGAGAAATCCTATCTCAAAAAACCAAATAAATAAATAAATAAATAAATAAATAAATAAATAAATAAATAAATAAATAAATAAATAAATAAATAAAATAGGCAGACAGATACTTTTTACCTTTATTGGGGGGAACAAAGTACTTTGGCCTCTCAAATCCATGTTTCTCCATCCATCTGGCTCCTTGAGCATCCAGCCGGTCATAAAGAGGAGATGTACGTAACTGTCTCCCAGTCTGGAAGTCCCATCGAGGAACCTTCAGATCATATATCAGAGCTAGAACAGAATAAGCATAGTCTGTCAGCTGGACCTGGCAGCACAAGCCTACAATCCCAGAGACCTGTGTGGTTAAAGCAGAAGTACTTCAAAATCAAGGATGACCTGGGCTAGGTTCCAGCCAAGCCAAGCCTGGGAAATTTGTGGTGGTCTGAATTAGAATGGCTCCCAGAGGCTCATATATTTGAACATTAGGTCCCCAAGCTGGTGGAACTGTTTTGGGAAGGATTGGGAGGTGTAGCCTTGTAGGAGAAGGTATGTAGGAGAAGGGGCTTTTTGAAGTTTCAAGCCCACACCATGCCTGTGTCCCTCTGTCTCCAACTTGCAGATAAAATAAGCTCTCAGTTACTGCTCTAGTAACAATCCTGCCTGCTGCCATGCTCCCCACCATAATGGTCATGGACTCACCCTCTAAAACTGTACACAAGCTCCCAGTTAAATGCTTTCTTTTATAAGTCTCTTCATAGAAACAGAAAAGTAACTAGGGCAGCAACTTAGCAAAACCCTGTCTCAAAGTAAAAACTCAAAAACTAAGCAAAGGACTGAGGCAGATATATATATGCCTAGTATGCATGAGGCTCTCTGGTTCAGTCCCCATTAAAAAAAAAAAAAAAAAAAAAAAAAAAAAGAGGTGGGATAGAGGCTGGAATGACTTCTTAGCAATTTTCAGCACTGGTTGCCCTTCTAGAGGACCTGGGTTCATTTTCCAGCACACACATGATGGCTTACAACTGTCCTTTACGAGTCCCTGGACTCAACTGTCAATACCACCCAGTGGAACACGTCTAGTTCAGAAGAAAGAACAATTGTAAACACTGGCCTATAAACACCAGCCTATAAACATGCTCTAAAACACTGGTAAGCAATTTATATCTGTTAACATTTTTAGTTCCAAATTAATAGGTAGAAACAATGGGAGAAAGGTCATGGGGCTAAACCTTGCTAAACTCCAAAGCACAGATGAAGGCTATATCCAAAGGGAACACAGGTGATTTTTTTTGTTTGTTTGTTTGTTTGTTTCATTCTGTTTCTTAAGAAAGGGTTTCTCTATTTAGCCTTGGCTGTCCTGGAACTTGATCTGTAGATCTGGCTGGCTTCAAACTCACAAACTCACATTTTATTTTTGAAGCCAGGCATTGGTGGCACACACCTTTTAATCCCAGCACTGGGGAGGCAGAGGAAAGCAAATCTCTGTGAGTTCAAGGACAGCCTAGTCTACAGTTTCAGGACAGGCTCCAAAGCTACACAGACATAAATAGATAATAAAATAAACAATAGATAAATAAATAATAATAAGATAAAATTTTAAAAACAGATTTTATTTTTGGAGCTGGAGAGATGGCTCAGCAAAAGAGCACTAACTAGTCTTCCAGAGGGACTGAGTCCAATCCCTAGAACCAATGTAAAGGTGGAAGGCAAACCCAACTCTACAAAGTTGTCCTCTGCCCCCCACACCTGCTCCATGACACATGTACCCCTACACACCAGACACAGAAATACATATTAATAAATTATCAGAATGGAAAGGAGGTAGGGAGACAGGGAGGGAGGGAGGGATGAAGGAAGAAAGGCAGGCCTACTAACATGCAAGAGGCCCTTAAACCTCAGTACCACAAAAAGAAAAAAACAAATAAAAAGCCAGGGAATGGTGGCACACAACATCTATACTCCTAGTACTTAGGAGATAGAGGCAGGAAAATTGGAGTTCAAGGCCAGCCTCACCAATATAGCAAGTTAAAGAAAGCCTGGATTCTATGAGACTCCTTCTCAAAATAACAAAAACTACCAAACCTAGGTGGGAAGTTAAGGCAGTACTCAAGGCCAACTGAAAAGGATTCTTTGCTAGCAACACACAGGATGCTGTTACATACTAGATGCAAGTCCTGTAAGCATTGTCCAGTGTAGTGAAAATGTTCTTAAGTGTCAGATGGGGCACAAGTCCCTATCCTCAGACCTAAAATAACCACATGAGAAACCCAATTCAAAGTAGTTATTAGAGAGGTAAAGGGAATCCTTGAATAGATAAAATAGAGCCACTGAGTGAGATGCAATTAGAATAAAGGCACACTTACGCATGACTTCCATGACCCGGTGGCGCAGAAAGGTGCGGCTGCTCTGGAGGACTCCAAAGCGTTGTAAATCCAATTCCCAGACATTTTCAGTGGGATAACCATATACCATCCATTCAGCAAGGAACCTGTTTAAATGGAGACAAAAAGCTGTTGGGCCTCAGATAATACAGAGAACAATTCAAATAACATACAAATCAAGAACCAATGTGTTTGAGCTGTAAGATGGCTCAGTGGTTAAAAGCAATGGTTGCTTTTCCAGAGGACCTAGATTCAATTACCAGTACCCACATGGCAGCTCACAACTGTCTCTAACTCCAGTCCAGAGGATCCAAAACCCTCACATAGACATACATGCAGACAAAACACCAATGCACATAAAATAAATTTAAAAAACAAAAAGAAGCAGTGGAATCAAGAATATGTGTTGTCAGAAGTTGAGCAATTCAGCAATTCTGGGCAATTTCCTTACAATTTCTAAATGAACAAACATGGATTCAAGTATTGTTCTCACAGAACTACTATGAAGTCAGGGTCTCAATACATAGCCCTGTCCTGGAATTCACTGTGTAGACCAGGCTAACTTCAGACCCACAGAAATCTGCCACCTCTGCTTCATATGTGCTGGAATTACAGGCAAGTGACACCACATCCATCTTTTGAGGGTTTGGGGTTTGTTTTGTTTTTTGTTTGTTTGTTTATGTGATCACGTCCATCTTTTGAGGGTTTTGGGGTTTTTTATTTTTTGGGGTTTTTTTTGTTTTGTTTTTTTAATGTGTATGGGTGTTTTGCCTGCATATAAATTTGTGTACAAAACAAACACACAAAAACTGGTGCTTGCAGAGGCCAGGAGAGAGCACTGGATCTGCAGGGACTGGAGTTACAGATGGTTGTGAGCTACCATGTAAGTACTGGAATTGAACCTGGGTCCTTTGGAAGAGCAGGTGTGCTCTTAACTACTGAGCTATCTCTCTAGACTCTCTATGAAGATCTTAACTCTAATAATAGAATCCCTAGTGCATGTTTACAATATCTATTAGGAAATTTATGGTTGTTTTGTTTATAAACAATTATGTTTATAAGCATCTTTGCTTAAAATGTTTCTGGTAACTTCTGTATTCAGAGCCATTTGGCATACTGATGTCATGATTTTTCTTTTTCTTTTTCTTTTTTTTTTTTTTTGTTTTTGTTTTTGTTTTTGTTTTTCAAGACAGGGTTTCTCCATAGCTTTAGCTGTCCTGGAACTCACTTTGTAGACCAGGCTGGCCTCAAACTTACAGGGATCTGCCTGCCTCTGCCTCCCAAGTTCTGGGATTAAGAGGCATGTGCCACTGTCAGGCCTCATGATTTAATTTTTGTTTTTATTGTTAATGTGTGTGTGTTTATGATGGAAGCTGGCACTTGTGAAGGTCAGAGGGTAACAGTTCTCTCCCTCTACCTTTACATAGATTGCTAAAAATTAAACTTGGGTTGCCAGGCTTGTGCAAAACGCTCCTTTACCCACTTAACCATCTCACTAGCTCCCCATAGTCCCAGAAAAATACTTAAATTATGAAATACAGTTGATCCTTGAAGAGCACAGTTTTAGACAGAATAGGTTATCTGGATTTTTTAAATTGCTGTTTTGTGACAATTAGGTAAAAAATTTCTTTTAGCCTACAAATAACAAAAACATTGAGAGTTAGGAGAGCTAGAGAGATGGCTCAGTACATTAAGAGCCCACACTTCAGTCCCAGTAAGATTTAATACCTCTGGCACTCATGTACACATATTTATGCATACATAGTTAAAAATAAACTTTTTTTTTAAAAAAACAGGGTTTCTCTTAATTCCTTTAGAGTCTGTCCTGGAACTAGCTCTGTAGACCAGGCTGGCCTCAAACTCACAGAAATCCATCTGCCTCAGCATCAGTGCTGGGACTAAGGTGTGCACCACCAATACCCAGCAATAGTTGGGTTTTTTAAACAGTTTCTCACTCTTTTTGTTTGTTTTGTTTCTGTTTTGTGAGACAGGGTTTCTCCATGTAACAACCCTGGCTGTCCTAGAACTAGCTCTGTAGACCAGGCTGGTCTAGAACTCAGAGTTCAGCATGTCTCTGTCTTCTAAGTGCTGGGATCAAAGAAGTACCACGATGCCTGGCCCTGGTTAATCACTCTTTAACCAGGGTGAATGGAAATCACTGTTTAGTCCAGGCTAGAATCACTGCAATCCTCCTCTCTCAGTCTCCTAAAAGCTAAGATTACAAGTATGTGTCACCATATTCAGATGATCAACTTTTTTAAAAACCTGAGAATAAGGTCTCCTACACTGCTGAGAATGACCTTGAACTTCTGATCCTCCTGCCTTTACCTCCGAAGGGCTGGGATTGTAGGCATACAGCAAGGACAACCAATCAACTATTTTAAGTGTGTGGTTCAGTGGAATTAAATACCTCTACACTAATGTATAACCACTACCACAATCCATTTCTAGAACTCATTTCATCTTGCAAAGTTGGAACACCAGACCTATTTAACAGTAAGTCCCCACCTTCTCTTCCCCCAGCAAATACTATTTTTCTTTGTTTCTATGACTACTCTAAGTACTTCATATAAGTGGAATTGTACAGTATTTGTATCCTTCAGTGACTGGCTTATTTTTTATTTTTTAAACAGAGGTCTCACCATGTAGCCCAAGCTGTCGTGGAACTCTCTTCATGGACTAAGCTGGCCTCTGCCTCCTCTGCTTAGATTAAAGACATGTGGTATCCATCCACAGCTAAGTTTTATAAGTACCTGTTTTTAAACTAAAATTCTAATTGCCTAGCTTGATAGCCTATTTCACTTACCACACCCAACTACTTCTGACCTTTCACAATCAAAACACTAACATTTGTTACAATTGAAAAGTTAAAAAAAAAAAATCCACAGGTTCTGTGACTAACTAAAGGACCAAGTTCCCAAAGTAGGGAGAAAAGCCTCCCAAAGTAATAACTTTGAAGATAATAACCCTAGAATATTTATTACTATTAATATTATTATCTGGTCACAAAACATATTGACAACAAGTAATCTGAAAGGAAGAACCTAGCAAGCTGAGGTATCCACAGGTGACTCTATGGACAAAGACTTACTTTCCAGCTCCTCCACCCAACGACAGGCCAGCAGAGTTCATCCCTGCCAGGACAAAGTAGCCCTGTACTACAGGAGACTCGCCCATGATGCACTTCATGTCTGGTGTGAAGGTCTCAGGGCAATTCACCAACTTCAAAATCTCCAGAGTCTCCAATTCTGGCATCCTACGCAGGAGGGAACTCAACAGGGGCTCTGAGCAATCAAAACAAACCCAAACAGAGTCCTCACCTTTAGGGAATTAAATTTTTTCAAGTTCTTACACTTTTTACTACTCCTTCCAAAAAATCCTTTAGGGAAGATTTTTCTAAGAGTCATTTGGTCAGTTATCAGAAAGAAGAAAAATTGGTGGAATTACTGAACACATCTACAAAATGCCTGGCATTCAAAGTAAGAAAAAGCATACTCTTCAAAGATAAGGAGCTACAGAACACAAAGAAATACATGAGGTTCCAGGCAGGATGGAAACCACCTAATGTTTCCATGAAAGACAGCATTCCTATATTGAGACAGATGTAAAAAGCAGGTTTGCACCTTGCACTGTACTATCTCTGGCCACTGTCCCATGGGACAGCAATAGCAGATGGAAATGGAAGTAATGGCTGATGGGCACAAGGGTTTAAAGTTTCCCATAAGCAGCAGCTTTTTTTTTTTTTTTTTTTTTAAGTCCATCAAGGATGAGAGATGGTTATCCTTTCATACCCTTTCCATTTATAACCATGTAACTACAATAATTATTCAATAAAGACAATTAAAGTTATTAAGAGACTTAATAAAGACCACATTAGCCAAAAAAAAAAAAAAAATCTACTTTCACAATCCTCCTGCCTCAGCCTCCTACATGCTGGGATTACAAGCAGGTATACATCACCATGCCTGGCTAACAGTTCAGCTCTGTAGAAAGCTCTTCAATTTCATGTAAATCTAACCAACTAGTCTAAAGTAGCAGCAGTGATTCAAATAAATAAATGATGAGTCAAGTTTATTAAACAAGACCATAGACCCCTGAATCTAACCAGTAACCATAGCCTTAGATAATGCAAACTCAAGACTATTCTTCATGATCACTACTGTGCTTCTTGGAGTTGTCTTAAAGATTACCATGAAAATACCTGGAAAAATATAACATCTTAGAAAAGTAGAAGGCATTGTTGTCATAGTCTACTTCACATACCAAAGTGATCCCAATCTTCCCTTAGGTTCTGAATTTCCAACTGGTTCTTGCCCTCAGTGAAAATAGGTTTTGGGTTCTTCTCAAATCCTCCAGACAAGATGCCCCCCTGCCAGTTCCTAATGTAAACTCTTCCATCAGCATCCACAACAGCTGAAGAAGAAATGACAAGGAAGGAGGGTGAAGAGAGAAACAAGGGGTTAGAAACCAGCCAGACTCCTGGATGGAGAAAAAAAGAAAACCCTCAGGAGAGACTTTACCAACAGTACAGCATCCAATAAATTCAGTTATCCATTAGTTTTAAAATACCATTGGAGGGGGCTGGAGAGATGGCTCAGTAGTTAAGAACATTGGCTGTTCTTCCAGAGGACCTGGGTTTAATTCCCAGCACCCACATGGCAGCTCACAACTGCCTGTAACTCCAATTCCAAAGGATCTGACACCCTCATACAGGCATACATTCAGGCAAAACACCGATCAATGCTCATAAGATAAAAATAAATAAATAATTAAAAAAAATAACCAGTGGAGGTCATGAGGGAGGATCTTCCCACACAGGACTACAGATGGCTTCTCTGATTATCCCAAACATTACTGGAAACCTAAAAGCTTTGCCAACACCTCACAACCAAACTATAGTACCAGCACTGTGCCTAGCCGAAGTCTAACAGGAAGGGACATGCAGAGTTCATTCTCTGAAGTAGTACCAAAAGCCTTCTAAGCTAGGCATGCCTGCCTCTGCCTCCATGCCCACAAAACTGAGCCAGGACTATGCAATGAGACCCTGTTTAAAAAAAAAAATACAATAAAGATGGGCGGTGCTGGCATACACATTTAATCCCAGTACTCAAGAGGCAGGGGAATCTCACAGTTTGAGACCAGTTGGTCAACACAGTGAGCTCCAGAACAGCCAGAGATACATAGAGAAACCCTGTCTCAGAAAACAAAAAACAACAACAAAAAAATAAACCCCACCCTTTCTCCCTTTGTTGGTTTGTAACAATTAAACTAAGTACATGGCCTACCTATGCACGAATTTATCTATTTATTTGTTTGTTTGTTTTTAGACACAGGGTTTCTCTGTGTATCCCTGGCTGTAGACCAGGCTGACCTCAACTCAGAGATCCATCCACCTGCCTCTGCCTCCTGAGTGCTGGGATAAAAGGCATGCACCACCAATGCCCGGCTCTACCTATGCACTTCTACATTCAAGTTAAAAATTCAAAAGTTATATTCCTAATTCTCAATGACCTCTATAGGAGCTTAAAATTAGCTTGTAAAACAATAACAATGAAAAAACAAACAAACAACAAAAAAGCCCTTAAGGGAATGTTTGTTTTGGCCATCTTTTCCTAAGAAACAATCATAGAAAACTTAGAATTGGAACCACCTCCCTGTAACATGCTCCAGAAAAGAAAAAAATTCCTCTAGGCATAGTGTGTCCTTAATGAAAACTCCTCCTTTCAAAGGACAGGATACCAGCAAGGAGATTATAAAAAAAAAATAAAAAAAAAAAAAAAAAAAAAAAGGTACAAGTCCTCACTTGGTGTGTTGCTCTGCAGAGGGGTTTCCCAGGGACGAGTCAGAAGGTAGAAGTGCTCACAGGCATGTAGCGGGATACTGACCGGCTCCTCGTTGGACAGACCCAGCTCGTATGCCCACTACAATGGACAATTTGTGGGTGGGGAGAGGAACAGAAACACAGATGAGCAAGTTAAGCCTCTTGAATTAATTTCAAGTGGCTCCTGAGTGCTCCTGTTACAGCGTCAGGTATGGGAAGTCAAGTTCAGCCTGTTTTATCTGGTTCAAGTATTTGAACAGGGAGCAACACTATACTTTTTAAAGCATAAAATCATCTTTTCAACGAAAAGAAGATGGATTTCCCAATCAAAAGAGGCCCTATAAATAAAATGCCTGGTATCAACTAGAAACTCCAAATGCCAATTATTAAATAAACTTTATATAGCAGAAAGTATTTCCTACATCTCCTTTAGGCTTTAATGTAGAAAGCAATCTGCCTCAGAAGTAGAAGTAACTTACATTCTAGAAATTGGATCCATGGTTCTGATATTATACTTGAGTTTGTAAAATGAAATGTAACATCACATAAATTTAGTCTAACACCATGGATTTATGTTGATGTCTATTTGGTGGTCTTCTGACTAGGATGGCACTATTTTACCCAATGTGGAAAGCTATCTGTATCTGAGATCTACATACAGGTTTCTAGTTTAGAATACAATTCTGGATTACCTGGTCCACATCAGCAGTGTATCTCGACACCAAACAGTCCAAGTTAAATGAAGTAAGAAACCTAGTACTGTGACCAACCTACCTGACCAGCACAGTTGACAAAATACTGGCATTCAATTTGTCCTTTATCTGTCTCCACTCCAGTAACTTGACCTTTTTTGATCAATACATGAAGAACACTTGTCCTGTCATAAATCTGAACACCTGTCCCAAAATAAAGAAAAGAAGGCAAGTTATTAGTGGACAATGGTGGCACATACCTTTAATCCCAGTACACAGCGACAGAGGCAGGTGGATCCCTTAGTTCAAGGCCAGCCTGGTCTACAGAGTGAGTTCCAGGACAGCCAGGGATACACAGAGAAACCCTGCCTTGGAGGAAAAAAAAAAGAAGGCAATTATTTGATGTTACAGAATTAAAGTCTCTGAAACAAATTCTTTACTCCAAAGGGACACTGAGTCTGTGCTTTAATATTAAAAAAAGTCAGCCTGGAAATGGTGGCACACTCCTTTAATCCCAGCACCGGAGAGGCAGAGGCAGGCAGATCTCTGTGAGTCTGAGGGCTCCAAAGCTACACAGAGAAAACCTGTCTCCAAAAAAAAAAAAAAAACAAAAAACAAAAAACAAAAAACCAAACCAACAACAAAAAAAAACCTCAGCACAGTATGGAGACTACACCTGTAATTCCAGCACCAGGCCAGCCTGAGCTAATAGTGAAACCCTAGTTTAAAAAAAAAATCTAAGGCAAGGAATACAGTTTAGTAGTAAGCACCGGCCTAGCATGCCCAAAGCCCTGGGTTCAATCCCCAGCTATAATGAATCATAAAGTCTATGTAACACTGTGGAAATTAGTAAGTCTTTTTTTTACTCTAGACCACATTTAAGCTATAAGTTAAACTCTAGCCTTGGCATGTCTCAAGTCCAGGGGCAGGGACTCTCCTAAGTCTGGTTTGTATTAATCAGCACAAGCAGTCCCTTAGAACAGAACAACAACAAAAATTTGACTCTGAGGAAAATATTCAACAGAGCAACTGAAAAATAATGCAGTGGTCAAAACCAAAGATACCTGATCTCCATACCTGAGCTGCTGTTGTTACCTTGCCATGACACACTCTCTTAAATAATTTCTTCTTCCCAAACCCATGCAAAAAATAACAAATAAAAACAAACAAACAAACAAACAAAACCACAAAAACCCACTCACCATTCTGGGAGGCAGCACTTGCCAGGGCAAGAGCCACATCAGCAGAGGACACTACTGCATCCTCAGGAACATGCATGGCCCCCACCAGATCATGCACATTGAGGAGAGGGTGAAGTTCAGCCACTTTCTTCGGGGAGATGATCTCAGAAGGGATACCTACAACACTGCCACAGAACACAAGGACGAAGACAATAATGGACTTTCTGGCAGAGGTCAAGTGGGTAAAGTCAGGAGGGTTGTCTAGTCTCCTACATACTTCAGCCTTGAGTTGATACGCTTCAGAGAGATCAACCGGTCCTGAGTTTGGGCCAGAGAGATTGAGCCTGTCCTTAAGTAACCTGTAAGAAAAGTCAATTAAATGAGCAGTCCAGAGGACTGGATCCACTAGATTTACATGTTAGGCCTATTGTGATTCCTAGGGCTTCCACTCACTATCCTTGAGTAAATAAATCTGCTCCCTTCAGGCTTCTTGCAAAATTCAAAAACATACCAGAGGTATAATTACTCTTCAGCTCAGTTTTGTGAGGGTCAAGTGGAATTTTAACATACAAAAGCATTCATGGGCTGAAGAGATGGCTCAATGGTTGGGAGGACTGATTGCTCTTCCAGAGGACCCAGGTTCACCCACATGGAAGCTCACAACTGTCTCTGACTCCAAGACCTGACACCCTCACACAGACAAACATGCAGGTGGGGTACTAATGCATATAAAATAAAAATAAACAATTAAAGAAAACATTCATGATAATAATGAAAGCTATGGCTAAAACTCTTATTAGGACAAGAACGCTTTATTCCTTTTAGATATTTCACCTTTTTAGTCTTGGTGAGGGTACATGCTTTGGTAAAAGCCATTTCTAACACTGGTCACCAAACAGTTGGATCCCCACTCTTTCCCCAGTAGAGCCAAATAAGTTGTAACCTAAAAACAGCCAAGTGAACCTTCTTAGGACATTCAGTCTTGAGCAAGTGGGTGATTGACTGCAAGACTCTCATGTCCTGCAGAGGCAGTAATGTTCTAGGTAACTCATTCCTCTTCTCTATGTCCTGGCCTGCTAGGCTGTCTACAGCTCTAAGTTTTGTGGAATTAAGTTATTTAATAAGTTGTGATTCCTCTTGGGTGAGAAGGTCTTCTGAAACCAAGACCCAATCCTATCTCTATAGTTCACCTCCTTCCATATTCATTTTTTCCTTTTCTTTTTTTCTTTCTTCTTTCTCTCTCTCTCTTTTTTTTTTTTTTTTTTTTTTTTTTTTTTGCTATGACTTCAAAGTACATTTTTTTAAAAAAAAAGATTTACTTATTTATTATGTACACAGTGTTCCGCCTGCAGGCCAGAAGAGGGCGCCAGATCTCATTACAGATAGTTGCTGAGAATTGAACTGAGGACCTCTGGAAGAGCAGCCAGTGCTCTTAACTGCTGAGTCTTCTCTCCGCCCCGCCCCCCCTTTTTTCCTCCTAAAATTTTTTTGCTTGGCATTGGTGGCATACACCTCTTAATTCCAGAATTCAAGAGGCAAAGGAAGGCCTCTTTCTGAGTTTGAGACCAGCTTGATCTATAGAGCCAGTTCCAGGACAAGCTCCAAAGCTACACAGAGAAACCCTGTCTCAAAAAATAAAACCAAAAAACAAAAACAAGTAAAAATTTTATAGCTGAATCTGATAGCACACGCCTTCAATCCTAGCACCTGGAAGGAGAGGCAGGTGGATGGATCTCTGTAAGTCTGAGGCCAGCATGGTCTACACAGCAAGTTCGTTCTAGTCAAGCTACATAGTGAGATCCAGTCTCAAAAAATCAAAACCAGGCTGGGCATTGGTGGCATGCACCTTTAGTCCCAAACTAGGGAGGCAGAGGCAGGCGGATCTCTGTGAGCTCGAGGCTAGCCTAGATTACAGAGTGAGTTCCAGGACAGGCTCCAAAGCTACAGAGAAACCCCGTCTTGAAAAAACAAAAAATTAACTATTAATGTGTGTACATGATGTATATGAGTAGATATACAGGTGCCACTGCATGCGTGTGGAGGTTAGAGGACAACCTTCTTTTGGTTTGTTCTCTCCTTCCAGTATGGGTTCAGGGGGCTGAACAGGTTGTTCATCTTTCATGGCAAGTTTTACCTACTAAGCCATTTCACCAGCATATCAGCCTATTCTCTCTCTCTCTCTCTCTCTCTCTCTCTCTCTCTCTCTCTCTGTGTGTGTGTGTGTGTGTGTGTGTGTCATTTTAGAAAGATTTCAAGTATTTCAGCCTGTCCCTGAATCCCTGATCCTCCTACCTTTACCTCTTAAGTACTGAATTTACAAGTTTGTACCATCATACCTGGTTTATGCAGTGCTGAGAATCAAATCCAGGGCTTCATGAATGAGAAGCAAGCACTCTAAATGATGTGAGTTATGTGCAGAGTCCTGTTTGTTTATTTCTTTTGTTTTGTTTTTACCTTACTTTAGTGTGACAGTTACTGACCTGAAATACTGTTTGTCTCTTCCTATCCTTCAAGATTTTGTATCTGAGTACACAAATGTTAAAATGATTTTTTTTTTTTTTAAATGGAGCTGAAAAGATAGCTCAGCAGTTAAGAGCCCTTGATATTCTTGCAGAAGACCCATGGTCAGTTCTAAGAAGCCACATGTTCCCTTGCAACCACCCTTGCTTCAGTTCTAAGAGATCCAAAACTCTCTTTTGGCCTCCACAGGTACCAGGCACATACATGTACATACATAGTACATATATATTCATACAATGTGGTGGTTTCAATGAGAATGGTCCCCACAGGCTCACATAGTTGAATGTTTGGTTCCCAGCTGATAGACTGATTAGGAAGTTTGAGAAGTGTGGCCTGGTTGGAGGAGGTGTGTTACTGGGTTGGGCTATGAGGTTTTAAAAAGAATCCACACCAGTCTTAGACTCTCTGCCTCCATCTTGCAGATCAGATGTAAGCTCTCAGCTACTGTTCCAGTACCATGCCTGCCTTCCCCTATGCTTCCTCCCATGCTGATCATGGACTCTAACCCTTTGAACTGTAAGCAAGCCCCCAATTAAACAAAATTACCTCGGTCATAGTGTATCCTCACAGCAATAGAACAGTAACGAGGACATACACATAAAACGAAAGTCTGTTTTCAAGACAGAGTCTCATTATGTTGGAACTCACTATGTAAAGCAGCTGGCCTTAAACTCACTGAGATCCACCTGTTCCACCTGTCTCTGCCTCCTGAATACTGGGATTAAAGGTGTGTGCCACTACTCACAACTATGTATGATTTTTAAAGCCAAAATAATAGAAAGTAAGACTTAGAAATGTCACTACCATTCCTGATTGCAACAGCTGTATCCTGCTTCACACCTACCAGTCTCAGTAGTTTTATTTTTCTGTATTTCTATTATGAAAAAAATCAGCAGACAGAGGCTTTAAATATATTTATTTAGGGCTGGAGAAATGGCTACAGTTAAGAACACATACTTCTCTTCCAAAGGATCTGAGTTCAATTCTTAGCAGCCATATCTGATGACTCACAACCTCCTATAACTCCAGGGGATCCAACTGCTCTGCCCCCTGTGGGCACCTGCACTCATGTGCAAATAGCTAAACAGAGATACATAAATATATGTAATTTTTAAAAATGAAAATAAGTCTGGGTAGTGGTGGTACATGGCTTTAATTCCAGCACTTAGGAGGCAGAGGCAGGCACATTTTCATGAGTTTAAGGCCAGCCTGGTCTAAAGAACAAGTTCCAGGATAGCCAAGGACAGCTGTCTCAAAAATCCAAAAATAAATAAATAAATCTCAAACATGTGTATGTATTTAGTGTAGATGCACACATGCCATAGTCTACACATGGAGCTCTGAGTTGATCTTCTCCTACCATGTAGGACCCAGGAACTAGACTCAGGTCATCAGACTTGGAAGCAAGCACATTACTCAGCTATTGTACATCTCTGAGTAAAAACTATTAGTTTTAATTTCTATTTTCTTCATTGCTAGGTATCAAACTCAGGGCTTCCCATATGCCAAGCAAAGACTCTACCACTGACCTATATCCTCATCCCAAAAAGCTACTAGCTTTCAGTCATATTGGTTTCATTTACTTGACAAAATTCTGTCACATAATAATGGAAAGACTATGGTTGTGAATGACACATATCTCTAATCCTGGCACATAGGAGGCAAGAGATCAGTAGTTCAAGGTCATATTCTTTTTCCTTTTCAAGATTTGTTTGTTTATTATGTATGCAGTGTTCTGTCTGCATGTATCCCTGTAGGTCAGAGGAGGGCACCAGATCTCATTACAGAAGGTTGTTAGGCACCATATGGTTGCTGGGAATTGAACTCAGGACCTCTGGAAGAACAGTCAGCGCTCTCAACCACTGAACCATCTCTCCAGCCCCTCAAGGCCATATTCTTCTCACTAAATTTAAATTATACAGGTCTTCAACTTTACTAACAAAAACCGACCAAGGGCTGGCAAGATGCTTCAGTGGTTGTAAAAAGTGCCTGCCATGCTAGCCTGGAAACCCGAGTTAAATTCCTGGAACCCACAAAAAGTTGGACTCAATGGCTAGCATCTGCAAGTCCTGCATGCCTATGGCAAGATGGGAGGTGAAGACAGGAGAACTGCCCAGAAGCCGGTGAGCTAGCTAACCCGGAGTATGCAGAATGGCACCAAGAAGACACCTGCCTCAACAAATTGGAAGTTTCCTCTGACCTCTGTATACTCACAGGCACATTATAAATGCAAATAATAAAAAAAGTAAAAATAAAAAAACAGTAAAATGGTAGTTTACATATGTATACTGCCTTTCTACAAATTATTACATTTTTATTTATTTTTTTAACAGGGAGCTTATGTATGCCACAGAACTTTTGGGTGTCAGTTAGAAAACAACTGTGGAAGTCATTTCTCTCTTTCCACCATGTGGGTCCCATGTTTTGAACTCAGGCTCTCAGGCTTGACAGTGAGCATTTTACCCACTGAGCCATCTCACCAGCCCACATGCATTCTTTAATAGAGAATCTCCACCACTGACACTCCCAAGCTTCCTTTCTCTATATCGCTGATACACTACAAGGAAACGAGCAGGTTAAAGGCAATACCCTGTACTCCCTGGCCCAACTCTTCACTATTCCTCATCTCTTTGCTGCCAGTAGGGGACTCTATACTATGATCTAGAACTAACCCTAGGCTAGCTTAACTTATAAAAATGAAGCCTATGCTCCTAATCCTCCTTAAATCTAACCAGCTGAATACAAAGCTCAGCAACACACTAGTAATTCAGTTAGTGGACTGGGAGTCAGTGCTCCACCCTGGGCCCACTCTATAGACCTACATCTGACTCAAACTCTAGATAATATTTGACTCAAGCACCTTATGGTGCCATCAGATTCAGTCCAACCAAACTAGAGTCTCTCTCTCACTTGTCCCGCACAAAGCAGGTGTCTTCCCAATTAAAGCCTGTAGACAGGGAAATCTGACACTCTTTTCTGGCCTCTGAGGGTACATAAACACATGTACATACACACATACAGACGCAGACACACACATATACATAACTAAATCTTAAAACCAGGTACCAGGTAGTGGTGGCATACACCTCTAATCCCAGCACTCAGGAGGCAGAGGCAAGTGGATCTCTGAGTTTGAGGCCAGCTTGGTCTATGGAGCTAGTTCCAAGATAGCCAGGGCTATACAGAGAAGCCCTGTCTCAAAACACAAAAGAAAACAAAAAATTAAAAAAGAAAAATTCAATTAAAACAAAAAAGGACAACATAGCAGAACTCCTTTTACTAAGTTTGTTTCAAAGTCCTTGGTAGTCATGTTCAGTTACCCCACAGGGAGTTTGGTGATATTCCCACAGGGCAAGGACTAGGAAAGGAAAAGCAAACAAAATAACAGCATTTCATTTCATTACCCAGAAAACTGAACCATACTCAGTTTCTGGATAATTCATCAATTTTGTACCAACTAGTAGTCCCTTTTCCCATTTTGTCATCAAATGGAATCATACTGTTTATTAGCATTCCTGTCCTTAAAACAGTTTGCTCTCCCTACATACTAGCTGGCCTCCTCACCAGTCCCCAGTACTATTATAATACTATTCATCTTACAATTCTGTCTTCTTTTCCCTAACTACACAGATAATGTTATTTATATATTTTATAATATTAATTGGTGAAGTTTATGAGTTGAACTGTGATTTCACTGCTAAGACCTGAACATATGCTCTTTCTCCTCTTGTTTAGGAGCTAAGTGCTGCCATTTATTATACGAGTGAAATATATCTTCAAAATGACCTCCAAAAACTTTCCATCATGACAATAATGAAAGGATCTGCAGGCCTTGGGTTTAATCCCAAGTACTCCCATCAAAAAATAAAAAAGTTAGAGTCTGAAAATGACCTGGGATTCTGACTATAATTTCTTCTAAAGAAGAAGGTAGCTGGAGAGATGGCTCAGTCGTTAAGAGCACTAGTTGTTCTTCCAGAAGAGGAAGGCAAGCTACATGACCTGCCCAAAGGAACACCCTAGCTTGAGGCAAATTCTCAAATACCAGTCTTAATCATCAGATCAGACAGAGTACAGGACCATATAGCAACTACCACCAAGTAAGGGTTTGGAGACAAGAAGACCAATTAACAGCAGATTACCTACTTACCTGTTTGGATTCCTGTTTCTTGCTCTAACTGATGGTAGAGTTTGTTTGAATAGTCTGCCATCTTCTGTTCAATGCTTGAATGCCTAGCAGTGCTTAGGATGCCAGCACAGAACCTTGTCGAGCCAGCAGCCAGCCTGCAGTACAAATGCAAAATACTGTTAGAAAGATTTACTTGTATCTATGAATATAAGTCCAGTTTCTAGGGCTAGAGAAGTTTCAGCAGGTTAAGAGCACTGGTTGTTCTTACAAAAAAAGACCCAGGTTTCATTGGTGGCATTCGCCTTTAATCGCAGCACTAGTGAGGCAGAGGCTGGTGGCGGATCTCTATGAGTTCAAGGCCAGCCTGGTCTACAGAGTTCCAGGACAGGCTCCAAAGCAATACAGAAAACTGAACTATACTCAGTTTTGGTTTGGTCTCCAAAAACCAAAAAAAAAGACCCAGGTTTGATTCCAGCACCCAAATGATGGCTCACCTATATCTCCAGCTGGACATCCCTAAATTCTAGAGGCAGAGACAATCAGATCTCTATGAGTTCAGGACAGCCAAAACAACAGTGACACTCTGTCTCAGCAGTTAAGAGCACTTGTTGCTCTTGCGGAGGAGCTGGGTTTGATTCCCAGCACCTATATAGTGGCTCAGAGCCATCTTCTGGCCTCAGAAGGCACTAGGCATGTATATGCTATTCAGACATACCTATAGGCAAAATAGCCATACATATAAACAATAAATAAATAAATAAATGACCGGGGAGATGGCTCAGTGGTTAAATGAACTTACTATTCTTCTAGAGGACCTGAGTTTGATTCCCAGCACCCACATGGCAGCTTACAACCACCTATTAACTCCAGCTTATTTGATGCTCTCTGGTATTTGCATTCACACACATACACAAACATACACACAATTAAAAAAAAAAAAAAACGGTCGATGGATATTGGCGGTACATGCTTTAATACTAGCACTTAGGAGGCAGACGCAGCATGGTCTAGAGTGAGTTCTATGACATCCAGTGCTACATAGTAAAACCCTATCTCAAACAAAAAAAAAAACAAAAAAAACAAAAAACTTTACCCACTCCAAAAAATAAAGGTGGAGAACTATCCACACACATATACACCCCATATTATAACAGTCTTTTTTTAAAATGTGTGTGGGTGTTTTGTTTACATATATCTGTGTACCACATGTGTGTCTCGTGCCCACAGAGGCCAGAAAAGGGTGTCAGATCCCCTGGAACTGACCTGCCATGTGGGTGCTGGAAACCAAACCTGGGTCCTCTAGAAGAATATCTAGTGCTTGTAACTGCTGGGCTGTCTCTCAAGCCCAGTAAATCCAAAACTATACTGAATTAAATGTAAATTATTAAAATAAAATGGGCAGAATGTACCACTTCTGTTCACCTCATGAACACAGGATTCAGCTGTGCTATGTGAAGAGGCTGTCAGCACAGAGTAAGATGAGCTGGGCTGTGAAAATATGTCCTTTTAAAACAAAGTTGGCATTTGCTACCTCTCTAAAATGCAGAAAACCTAAGTGCTAGAACATTTCTAACCATAGTGCAGAATTCACCTGGGTCTTCTCACACTAGTGTACAACATTTAGATTAGCTACAGGTCTGACATTATGGAAAAGACAGTGAATGAAGGAACCCTGTACTGTTATTGCAGCCAAACCCCAAGTCAAGCCAATTTGATCCTTACCTGCCCTGCTCCAAAAGGACAATATCCTGCCACCCCATTTTGGAGAGGTGATAGGCCACGGATGTACCCATGATTCCACCCCCACAGATGACCACCTGGGCCTGGGCAGGCAGAGCGACAGAATGTGACTCGGCAGCTGATGTGCTGCTTCTTGCTGATGACCAGGTTTGCCATCCTGGGCTAGTTCTTTGTCTTTGGACAATGGACAGCAACCGGTAAAGCATCACCAACTGGGAATTATGTTTTCACTCAACTGAGAAGATCCAAAGAATTCAAACTAGAAAGAAAAAACAGACATTTTTCACTCCATTCAACTTGGTTCTTAGGACTAATGAAAAAAGAATTTAACAAAGAACAATAGCCACTCACTTGACATATATCTGAGGACCTATGTTTTAGAGTCTGCTAAAAAATAAACAAAAACTCTGCTAAAAAAAAACAAAACCAAAAAACAAGCCAGGCACAGTAGTACATACCTTTAGTCCCAAAGGAGGATTGAAATCTAGAGGCAGAGGCAGGTAGAACTCTGAGAATTCAAGGCCAACCTGGTCTATATATAAAGTTCCAGAACTACATAGGGAGCTCCTGTTTCAAAAAGACAATAAACACACACACACACACACACACACCACCACCACCACCAACAACAACAACAACAATAATAATAAAAAAGCATAAAGAAGCCTAATCTGGGTATAGTAACACAGTCTATAATCTTAGCACTTGAGAAGGGGAAACAGGAGGATCCCTAGAAATCCAAGGTCATCCTTCAGCTACACTGAGAATTCCAGGTCAACCTTGGTTGGAGATCTAGTCTAAAGATAGATACTGACAGACAGGGGAACATAGACAGAAAGAAAAAGAGCCAGTGAGAAAGCTTAGTGGGTGAAGGCACTTTGCAATGGAGCCTCATAACCTGAGTTCATCACCTGTAATCCAGTACAAGAGCCAGGGAAATGAAAAAACAAAGAATGGAGTCCTTAGGAAGAGAAGAGGCAGGACCCAGAACCATGTGAAAGAGGCCTGGACTAACCCCCAAAAAAACAGTAAAAATAAAGTATTAGACACCTTTCCATGGAAAGAAAGAAAGGAGTTTTCGCTTATATTTACACAGAAGTCATACATATTTCTTTTTTGTTTTGTTTTTCGAGACAGGGTTTCTCTGTGTAGCCGTGGCTGCCCTGAAACTCACTCTGTAGGCTAAACTGGCCTCAAATTCATGGAGTTACACCTGTCTCTGCCTCCTGAGTGCTGGGACTATGGTGTGTGCCACCATTGCCCAGTTAAGTCATACATATTTCCATAAGATAATATTAATAGCCCAGATGGGCAGTGGTGCACGCCTTTAATCCCAGTACTCAGGAAGCAGAAGCAGGCAGATCTCTGTGAGTTCAAGGCCAGCTTGGTCTACAAAGCTATGTATGTATATTTTTTCTTTTGGATTTTCAAGACAAGATAATATATATCATAAAGAAAAGGGTAAAGGCTAAGATCATCAGGAAAAGGATCATACTCAAAGTAGGATTTAAATTGAGCCTTGGAAGAGTAAAGTCTGCACCGAGTCAAAGACATAGGAAACACACACACCAAAGACAACAGAACAGGTCTGACTATCATATCTGCTTAAAATAGCAATAAGAAATCAAGTGAATTCTAGGTAACAGGAACTAAAGGAAGAACCCAACCACAAGAGACTAAATATTTGATCTGGTGTGGTCCAGTATACAATAAGTTACTACTGACTTTAAAAAAAAAAAAAAAAAAAAAAAGGTAAGATTTTAACAAAATTCAACAGAAATACAGAGAATTGTCTAAGTCTCAAGAAACTAAACGCTGACCTACAGCAGACTATGCCAGCATTACAGAGCTTGAGACACAGGGTGGCAGATATGTAGGAATCAAGAGCAGCACACTGCTAGTAAAGCTGCCACCACCTCCACTGCTGGGTTTAGACTCCCCATTGGCCCATGTCCTCTAAGGCCAAAGAGGTCACCACCAAAGAGGACTCTCAGAACTACAGTCTTTTTTAAAAATGTCTTTTAGATTTTTTTTTTCTTTTTTTAAGATTTATTTATTTATTATGTATACAGTGTTCTGCCTGCAAGTATGCCTGCAGTCCAGAAGAGGGTACCAGATCTCATTATAGATGTGTGTGAGCCACCATGTGGTTGCTGGGAATTGAACTGAGGACCTCTGGAAAAGCAGCCAGTGCTCTTAACCTCTAGAGCCATCTCTCCAGCCCCTTAGATTTATTTTTATATATTTATATTTTGGGGAAGGCATCCTAGGTGTTTAAGAAAACAGGTTGAAGCTGGGCAGGGGCGGTGCATGCCTTTAGTCCCAGCACTCAGGAGGCAGAGGCAGAGGCAGAGGCAGAGGCAGAGGCAGAGGCAGAGGCAGAGGCAGAGGCAGAGGCAGAGGCAGAGGCAGAGGCAGAGGCAGAGGCAGAGGCAGAGGCAGAGGCAGAGGCAGAGGCAGAGGCAGGCGGATCTCTACGAGTCTGAGGCCACCCTGGTCTACAGAGTGAGTTCCAAGACAGGCTCCAAAGCTACAGAGAAACCCTGTCTAAAAAAACAAAAACAAAAACAAAACAGGTTGATCAGCCAGCACCACTTGGAGGCAGAGGCAGGTGGGTCTCTGAGTTCAAAGCCAGCCTGGTCTATAGAGTAAGTTCCAGAACAGCCAGGGATATAGAGACTCTGTCTCAAACAAACAAACAAAAAGCAGGCTGAGCAAGCTATAGGAAGTGAACCAATAAGCAGCACTCCTCCATGGCCTCCACATCAGATCTTGCCTTCAAGTTCCTGCCATGTGTTTCTTCCCTGACTTTTCTGGCTGATGGACCTTGTGAGCTGTCATGTGGGTACTGGGAATTGAACCCTGGTCCTCTGGGAAAGCAGTCAGCATTCTTAACCGCTGAGCTAGTTCTCCAGCCCCAGTGCTGACACTTTTCTCACCAAAACACTCAATTTTCTGGTTTCAAAGGATAGATCTCTCACATCATCACACTTTTGTTTTTCCTGGAATTCACTCTGTACACCAGGCTGGCCTTGAATTCACAGAGATCTGCCTCCCAAGTGCTGGGACTGAAGGTGTGTGCCACCAATGCCCTGCACATCATCATACTTAATTACAGATTATTCCTTCCCACTTGCACACAGGTTTCCAGTTTCATTACTATAGTTCCTGGCTCACATCTCTTTACTCGAGGCTATCTTCTACCCTGAGCCTTCCCATCTTTCCCCAGGGTGATTTAAATGTCACCATGATGCATGGCATAACCCAAGAATCCTACACCCCACAGGGAAAACCAAGCACATCCAAATGTAAACACCCTCCCTTCCTCTCCATCTTTCCTACACTGTGTCACCAGTGGCTCCACACACTAGAATCCAGAGTGTCACCTGGGTTCCTCCCTTTCTCATCTCTCTTACCCAGTCATTTCTCAGGCTCTTCCCTGTCTAGTCTACTTCCTAAATCTACCTCTCTCCAAATGTCCTGCCAACATATGAGGAAGCCTTGAGACTTACAGCTCCTACTTTTAGTGACTTTTAGTGAACACCTTTCTCCTACACACCTAAATCCACACACAGGAGTAAGTGAGCTGTCTTCCACAATGGAAATCTTATTTCGAGGCCCTTCTCTCAACCTTCCCATGACAGGCGATACTTGCAGGAAAAAGTGAAAGCTCCTTACTACAGTGTACAACGTGGTTTAATCTCTGGTCTCACTATTCTTCCCTCTCAAACTCCACTAAGTTGGAGCAGACTACTAATGGTAACTCCTCAAACAAGTCAGGCTTAACTTTCTCCTGCATGCCTGGGCCTTGTGTGCACTGCTTCTCTAACTAGCACAGTTCCTGCCACTTGTCTGCCAAGCAAAGGTATCTCTTCAGAACACAGCCTACATAATAGTGTATTTGGATAAGGGAGTCTTCTGTGTTCTTCCAGAACAGAACTTTTTATCCTCTCCAATTATCTGTAAGTCATTTGAGTGGAGGAGTAATTCAGCAATGCAGTGGGGGAATCCAAGCTCTACAGGCACATGTAGGTGTTAAATCTCCTTACATCTCATCACCTGTATGACTCTGAACAAGTTTTTGTGTGTCAGATTCCTTATCTGTTATATGAGCTAGAAATAGCTATCTCACATGGTTGTGGAAAGCCTAAATCAAACAATGCAATACAAATGGGCAATTCACGTCAACACTCCAAAGCTGTGGGGTGGGGGGCAGAGAAGGAGGAGAAATAGAAAGAGAGAAATGCAGAGAGAGAGAGAAAGGGAGGGAGAGAGAGAAAAGGAATATCGTTCCTTCATTAAATAGAACTCCAAGGCCAGTCAGTGGACAACCGTATACCAGCTATGAGAAGGTAAGAGACAAAAACAGAAGAATTTAAGATCATCCTAGAAGATGTATCAAGTTCAGGCTAAATGAAACCCTACCTCAATGAACATATATAAGGCTCAGACGATGCGACAGCTATGCAAGCATGAGGTCCTGAGTTATGATCTCTGATATTGGTTACAATATGCAAGACATTCCTAACTATTCAACTAATCTAAGCACAGCCCTAGAGGGTAGACATGATGTGTGTTGTATACTTTAGGAAACTCAAGTATAAAAGTATAAAAATTATATAAAGTGACTACTATATAATCCAAGATTAAACTGCAAATCTAGCATCAGAGCCTACTATTTATCATGATTAATACTACTGCTTTTCTTTTTTGTTTGTGTTTTGTTTTGTTTGAGACAGGGTGGCACTTTGAAGCCAGTGACCCAAAACCTGCTATGTAAATCAGGGTGGCTTATACCTCACAGAGATCCACCTGCCTCTGCCTCCCCAGTGCTGGGACTAAAGGCATAGGCCACCACAACCTGCTCAAATTGCATTTCAAAGAAATCCAGGTGAGCAAAGACTAAACAACTGTAAGGCAGAAGCAGGAGCTCATTCTCTGGCTAGAAAAAGAGAATTGCAAAGGTTAAAGAAATGTAACAGAGTATTCTTCCCTGAGAACCCCTCCCATTCTCCAGAGGCCTTTCTCACTTTTTCTTAATAAATCTATATTCACTCTGCAAGAGAGAAAACAAACAAACAGGCAGGCATTTCAAGAAAAAAATAAACCATGTCCAGTGCTCAGCCTGATAGGCCAAGAAAAAGACTGTTGACATTATGCTCATCATAACCTTTAAGAGTGAAGAGACGAAGGAATTAGGAGTTAAAATACACCAGGAAAGGAGAGCTAGAGAGACATCTCAGGGGGTAAGAGTACTTCTTGCTCTTGCAGAGGGTCTGCATCCAATTCCCAACACCCACATGGGGGCTCACAACCGTCTGTAAGTTCAGCTCCAGTGAATCCAATACCCTTTCCTGACTTTCGTGGACATCAAGTTTGCACACAGTGTGTACAGACATAAGTGAAGGCAAAACTTTCATAAATTAAATGTAATAGTAATAAAAAAAAGAGTACTTAAAAAGACTTAAAAGTACACCAGGAAGAGAAGGTATAAGTGTCTACTCCAGAAGGTCTGGCAGCAAAAACCAAAGCAAGGTTCCACAGGAAAAGGAGGTAAAACCAGGAAAATGGACACTAAAGGTGTCAAACTTGTTCAAAATGAGACAAGAAGGTTTAAAATTTTTAATTTTCGTTAATGAAAATAACTGTATCTCTACTGGACAGAGTAACGTCTAAACAAACTCTGACTAGTTCTGCTTAGATCCAACGCCAACAAGTTGACAGCTCTAATCTGGAGTAATACTCCCATCTGTAATCCCACCACACCGAATGCTCAATCAGGAGGAATGTCCCGGGTTCCGGTGAGCCTGGGCTACACTGTGAGACCCTATCTTTAAAAGACAAAACCAGTGACATCTCGTTAACAATTCCTGAATTCTTCCTCTGGTAGCAGGATGAGGCACGGGTCACAAAGAACGAAGGCGGAATGTAGACGCATCTCTGCCACACGCAATTCAGTGGAATCACCAGGACAAGCTTAATAGAAACAGAATCTGCCTCTGCAGTCTGATGCTACGGGTTCAGGGTGCACGGGATGCTCAAGAGAGTTTAAGAAAAAATGATACAAGTCCCTGCCGTCCTGCTGCCACTTAAAGCGGACCACTTAACGATATCTTTCCAACTAGACCCTCGACCACACGCCATCCCTATACATGAAGATTGCAAGACTGAATAAATGCTCAAAGTGTGCTTGGAGACCGTGGACTCGAACCTCTGTATCATACACAACAGTCCCTCTCAAGCCACCCATTGGAATTCCCACCGCCCTGATTTAATCTCTGACAAGAGTTGGTAAAGCGCAACCGAACAGCACGTTTCTAGGCGGGAAAACAACTCCACCTGTAGACAAGCAGGGAGCACAGCTGGCTGTGACAGCAGGTGCGTGCCCGTCCCAGCTGCGGCCAGCCCCGAGGCCCAGCCACCCCGGGAGAGCCCGCGCGAAGGCCCGGGGCAGCCGGCGCGGGTTTCCAAATCCGCACAGCCCCGCTGACTGAAATCCTGGAGCCCAACCGCACCGCACCGCCTCAGAAACCAGGAGGAGAAACAGGAGCTGGAAGCCATAGGCAGAGGACAGGGGCGTGGAGGACACAGGAGCTCACCGGACGATAAGGCCGTCGGGACTAGCAGGTCGTCGGCGCCTCTTACCTCAGGGGCCCGCAAGTGCGGGCAGCGCGTTCAACGACGCCCGGCGGAAGTGAAGTGCAGCACAACGGCTGATGAGGGTCTGCGCGGGCCGGAAAGCGGGACCGGGCATGAGGAGGGGACCGGACGCAGAGCGGAAAGTTCCGGGGCTGCACCGGCCCCCGACCTTCCGCGCTTTACGGCCCGCGGCAAGGGTAAGGCGGGAGCGCGCGCCAACGCACCGTGACGTCACCGCGACGGACCGGACCGCACGTGGGCTTGTTTGGGTCTCGCCAGGCCCCGCCCCTCTCACGACTCCTCCCCCTCTGTCAAGATGGCGGCCTGCGGGAGGCCCCTAGGTGGCCTCGCTCTTAGCTGTCCCGGCTCCCGCCCAGCTCCATTTCTGCTTAGGAGCCGGGCTACAGCCTCGACCTAGCGTGGGCAGTTGTGGCGATCGTCTTCCGCCAGGCCTGAGCCCAGGTCCTTCTGCGGTACGTCCGCAGCCCACAGACACATTTCAGGCCGGGGTCGTGCTATTTTCTGTCCCTGCACATCACTGAAAGCCTTCCCGTACTAGGCTTTGGCAGAGCCCGTCGCAAAGCTTATTCTGCGGGCCTGGTCGGACCTCGGAGGCCGAATCAGCCGACCTGACTTCCTATCTTATTCCTTGCGCCTTCCCGGCTCGTCTCTGCCCAGAGGAAGAGGCATTGTTTACTCGAACTTCGGAAATGTCTTCTACCTCCCATTCCCTCCAACTCAGTCACATTACCCAATTTTCTTCACAGAACTCATCACTAGTTCAAATAGATGTGTTCGGTACCTGCCTTTACACTGATGTCGACGCGGCCCTCTGATCTCCTGAGGACCAAACCATACTCGGGTGCGGCTTCTTAGCACCACCAACCCGCGCCTGGCACATCATCCAATAAGTCCTTCACAACGATACCAATAGAAATGCTGTATTTTGGACAATGCTCTCTAGTTTCCATTCTCTGGACCAAGCTTATCTTGTCGTATAAGCCAGCCTTGAACGTTATTGCTAGCTATGTATGACCTGGCATTGTGTTAGAGTGGGTGCTGGCTATGAACGAGAAAAAAAAAAAAAAAAAAAAAGGAGCTAAGTGATTCACACTTGCCCCCCCCCCCAGCACTTAATAGGTAGAGGCAGGATTGTCAGGCCTGCAAGGTACTCTTTTGCTAATAGAGAGTGCAAGATGAGTGTTCACTATAGAAATCTTGTGTATGGAAGGAAAACATCCACAGAAAGGCACAAACATTGCAAAAAAAAAAAAAAAAAATCATAACCGTATCATCTTATGCCCCTAGTAGCCAGGCTGCAGGCATCTTCTTGTCATGAAGACATTCATTCCACAGCTTGTGTGGTTTATTCCCAACTCACTAGACAGTGAATTTCCACAAGTCTGCCCGGATGAACTCTGACTATGAAAGACTCAACTCTGCCCTGCTCCTTTTTTTTTTAAGTTTTTTTTTTTTTTTGTTTATCTATCTAAGTTTATTTGTACTGGTGTGTATATATGTATGTGTTTTCAAAGACAAAGTCTTATGTAACCTAGACTAGATTCAAACTATGTAGCAGAAGATGACTTTGAACTAATAGTCCACCTGCCTCCACCTGCCAAATGCTAGGTTGGTAAGCTTGCTTTACTACACATCTAGCTCCCCTTGTTCCCCTGATACATAAGAGTTCAAGGAATTTGAAATCCCCTGCTAGATAAAGTCTTTCATATTTTAGCTACGTATTTAATGTTATCTTTCAAAAAAAACAAAAAAAAAAGAAAGGAAGAAAGAAAGAAAAGACACTCACCTATCAAAAGCATTTAGGGGATAATGTTTTTTATGCAATTTGGGGAGACTGGAAGATAGATTTGTTTGTTTGTTTGTTTGTTTGTTTGTTTTGCAAGCCATCTGCTTCATACCATTTCCAGGCATACAAACTTGGAAGAAACCTAGTTATCTACAGGAAAGAGTGAATGCAGTGAAGTGGTATGTTATATATTGTGTCACACGCAGTAAGTACTTCCTCCATCCATAACTATTATTAACTATTACAAATTGCTAAATCTAGGAGCTGGAGAAATGGCTCAGAGGTTAAGAGCACTGGCTGTTCTTCCAAAGGTCCTCAGTTCAATTCCCAGAAACCACATGGTGACTCACAACAATCTGTAATGAGATCTGGTACCATCTTCCGGCCTGCAGGCAAACATGCAGGCAGAACACTATGCATAATTAATAAATAAATCTAAAAAGAAAAAAAGGAAATTGCTAAATTTAAAATCTCTTTGCACTATCAAAGGTAAGATTTGTTCTCCGCACTTTCTTAAAACCACCAGCACAATTTTGGGTAGATTCAAGAGGATTGAAGTGGATTTTCCTCCATTTACTTGTTACATGTTTTTGCTGGTACTAGGGATTGATCCTAGGCTAATCAAGCTAACTATCACCAAGTGACAGCCCCAGTCCTATCTTTATAGTTTTGCCTTCTCTTTTTTATAAGTGGTGTTTCTTGACTGGCTCCTGACTTCTCTATGCTGAGGATCCCTTGGAGAATCAAATATTTTGCATGAAGAATGCTTCTTGGAAGATTTGGATGCACTTACCATTTTGTCCTTTGCATCCTTGTTTATCTGTTTGTCAAATACAGAGATTGCAAAAGTAAGAAGACATTTTTAGCACCTGTTTCTAAAGAGCCATGTCAGGATATTCTTTGGATACCAAGAACTGGAGTCAGAGCACCTTTCCATAGGCTGGTTCTAGTGTCTTGCATTCTGAAATGTCTGGTATATGTAGTTAGTAAGAACCAGAAAGAAAGCCAGGCATGGTGTTACATGACTTTAATCCCAGCACTCAAAAGAGACAAGTGGAACTCTGAGCTTGAGGCCAGCCTGGTCTACAAAGAGAGTTCCAAGACATACAGGGCTGTTACAAAGAGAAACCCTGTCTTGGGGGATAGAAAGGAACAAGAAAGAAGAAAAGGTTATCTTGAAATATAGGATCCCATCACCTCACACAGTCTCTTTGGTCAAATCTTGGTATGTATTGGGTACCACTATAATTATTATAATATCCTGTAACTTATTTGTGCTTATGAGCAGTATTTCTCCTCAACCCACTTCTGCTCCTTTGTAGAGTTAGCATGTGTCGTGGAGAACATTCCAGATGCCCTGCTTAGCAGGGCAATAGTGGCGCATGCCTTGATCCCAGAGCTTGGGAGGCAGAGGCAGGTGGATCGATGTGAGTTCAAGGCCGGCCTGATCTACATAGTGAGTTTCAGGACATCCAGAGTTACAAAAAGACATCCTGTCTTGAAAACAACAACAACAACAAAAAAAAAGAGGCTAGCTCACTGAGTGTTCAGGGTAACTAAGCATTTCTGCCCTCTATAAATTTGGTATTAACTATTGCTTCCAGCCATCTAGGTTTCATTTAAGATTTTTTGCATAACTCTTGTCATGCTCATTTTTAAATGTCCTTTTTCTGTAGTAACTTGTTATCTGCCATTTCAAAGTATACCCTGCACATAAAACTATTTGCACCCATGATACTAAATTGTAAGGTTTGGAAACCAAAATAAAGAAGGTACACACTGACTCTGACTCTGCATGCAGTGTTGGACTGACTGTGGAGAGAGTATCTTCCTTTCCTCCTCCTCCAGCTAGTGTTGCTGTCAATACACTTTACCCCAGTCTACCCTTGACTTACAGAAAAGACAGATGGGACCCTGCCCAGCATATATCTCAGCCCATGTTCATGTTGATGCTGAATGAAAGGTATATGCACTATACCTTTCTGAGGACCTTGTCTGAGACGAGCCACTGGCATACTTTCACTACCTGTAACTTCCATGCACTTTCCATGGTTTGTGCATGGAAAAACCATGTGGCATTGTGGCTGCACCTGCTGGGTGGCGTGCATCTATTGGGTCTGTGTCAAACTGCCTAATGATTTTCAGATGTCCATCATCTCCCTGTGGCTTCATGTAGTTCCCCACCCCCATCTCTCTCCAGGGTCTCATGTAGCCCTGGCTAGCCTTGAACTCACTATATAGTCAAAGATGGCTTTCAACTCTTGATTTACCTTTTGAGTGCTGTGATCACAAGCATGAACTACCATGTCCAATATCCCCAGTAAGTTTTTATAAGGATGCCAGTCATACTGGGTTAGGGCACACTACTGCTGCAGGACCTAATAACCTCAAATAAATCTTTAAAGACCATTCTCCAATTACAGGCACTCTAAGACCATGCTAGGTGCTAGGGCCTGAGGTTGGCTCTGAGCTGGTTCTGTCTTGGAGCTGCCTAGAGAAATGTCCACTTGTCACCTCTCCTGCTGTGCTGGGGAAAGTTCTGAACTTAGAATCCCCCCTTTTTTTTCCAAGACAGGGTCTCACTATGTACCTCTGGTTGTCCTGGAACTCACTCACTCTGTAGACCAAGCTGGCCTCAAACTCACAGTGATTCATCTGCCTCTGACTCACACCTGTTCTGATTAAAGGCTTTCAGCTCTATGCCCAGCTGAATTTAGAATCTTAAGACCCTGATTGCCTCTCCAGTTGTTCTGGAAGAGCCCTCCCTTATCTTAAATACTTGATACTGAGCTCATGAACACCCCATCTCCTTGATAGAGCACTTCCTTTTCAGGCAACTGGGCCTCCTTGGTATCCCCACTGTCTTCTTTTCTTAGTTTTTAAAAAGCTTTTTAAATTTAGTGTTTGCATGTATGCATGTTTCTCATTCCTGTAAAATCCAGAGGATGGTATTGGATCCTCCAGAACCAGAATTATGGATAGTTTTGAACCACCACATGAATGCTGAGAACAAAGTTTGGGTCCTCTGCTAGAGCAGCAAATGCTCTTAACTGCTGAGCCATCTCTCCATCTCTCTACCTCCCCCTTTTGAGACAGGATATCACTATATACCTCTGGCTAATCTAAAATTCGATATGTAGACAAGGCTGGCCTCAAAATCAAAAAGATCCACTGCTCTGCCTCCAAAGTTCCCACCTCCTGGCTGTTTTGCTTTCTGATATCCCTTTATTTGTTCATCTGTTGCATGAACTTTTCCTGAGGAGATACAAACGTCTAATCACCTCAGATAATGCACAAGTGACAGAGAAAAATAATGATGCCATCAAAGTCCAACTTGGCAAAGAAATGAATTTGTTTGGCTTACTTACAGAACATGGTTGAGGGTTTGCTTCTGGGAACAAGAGTG